AGATGCCAGCTACAGTTGACATTGTTAATAAAGCGTTTATGGGTTATGCAAAAACACAAAAAGAGGCGCAATTATTCCACGAGTTCAAGCGACTAAAAGCCATTTAGCGTTGCTGCAAGGAATTGAAAGAGATTGCCTAAGCTGCCAAGTCGCTCAACTAGAGCGATGAGATCTCTGATGCAGCTTCTCCTTTATCCAAAGCGCTTCAAAATATATTTCCCAAGACAAAAAAAAAAGTCAATTTAAACAAAATACACGAAAAAAAAAAAAAACAACGGAAAGAAAACGTAACTCACTTAAAGCACTTATGTGCATATGAATTATTCAATGGCATGCAAAAGATATGGCAACTTTGCTTGCATTAACCCATGACAAAGACACTTTAACCCCTCTGGATGAGTTGGTAAAGCACACAAAATTCGACCCTTGAAGCTGCTCATATTGTCTATTTCTGTCGATGTGTGTGTGTGTGTGTGTGTGTGTGTGTGTGTGTCTTACATTGTATGCATTTGCATGTGTGTGTGTATTTGTGTGTATAATTTATATATGGGCAGAGTTGCTCGACTACGTGTTTAGCATTTGCAATGCCACAGAGAACGCACAGCAACAGCAACAACAACAACAACCGCAAGCAAAAGATGCTTAAACTAAGCTTTGGGTATTTTTGTTGCTGGTGTTTTTTTTTTTTTTTTGGTGATAGATGGAAGACGCAGCGAGGAGTGTTGTCATCCATTGTATGTACATGCCGGGAATTCAACATGTACATCCATATGTACATATGCTTGTATGTATGTGTGCATATATGTTACCAACAGAATGCGTTTGGAATTTGCCCCCACATAAGCATAACAATAACAGCAGCAGCAATAGCAACAGCAACAATAACAGTAATAATAGCATCCGCTAAAAAACAAAACATCAAAAAAAAAAAAAAACAACAAAAAAACTCATCCATACACCTACTACGTATAAGTTTCGTTTAAGTATTAATTTTACAGCTGAGGCGGGGATGGGGGGTGCTGCCCAGCTGTTTGCGGTGGGCGGCTCGTAAATAACAAAACACACACACACAAACACATTCACACAACACCCGCATAAGTATGGAATGAATGGAATGAAAGAAAAAAATAAATAAATAAAATAAAATAAAATAACCAAACAGAATAGTTTTGTCTTGCCAACAGTCGAAGCTCAAAAACACTTAACGAATGCAAAACAGCAGCTTGAACTTGCCCTGTTACGCTAACAGTCACAGTCCTGTTAACAGGGCTTTGAATCGACATGCATATAAAAATTATGTATTTTGCTACATACGAAGCATATTATTAAATGTTGCCAACATAATCGCTGCACAGAGGCATTAAAGAAAAAAATAGAAAAACAAAAGGCGCAAAAAGTATTACAAATTCTAGGCAACAACTACGCCGCTTTATGTACATTAACATACGCACACACACACACGTACAAGAACAGCAACAAGACATTTGATGTATTTGCTTTGATTTGTTTTATCGCTTATGCGTGCATGAGCGTGTGCGTGTGTGTGCGTATGTAAATATACAGATATTCATACATACATAGATATTTCGTTAAGACGCATTTTGCGCTAGACAAAGGGAAAGAGCGTAAAAGTAACGCGAATATCTTAAGAGTTCATGCACACGCTGCGACAGCAGACAAAACAAACGCATGTTAATCAATTAGCGTGTAAAGGATAAAACGTGCATTGAACTTAGCAGAGCGTAGAATGATACAAAAAAAAACAGTTGAAATTAGTTTACAGCGTGCTGTTAAGATGCACATACATATGTATGTATTTATGTATGTATGTATGTGTGTACTTTCGTCAACTTGAGTTCTAGTTGGTTTTTGTTGTTAGCGAGGTCAACGTTTTTCTGTAATTGTTGTTGTTGTAGATGCCAATTGTAATTCATTTCCTCATAGCAAACAAACACAAAACAAATAGAAACAAACGCATAACATACATATTCGCATTTCACTATATATTAAACGAACATATGTACATACATATGTATGTAATTATAAAGCATTGTACAATTGCCTTGACCTTAACACAATAAAATAAATTACACCAATTACAACAACCATACTGAAAGGCAAAAGCCGTTTAACAGCTCGTTATGCAGTTGATCATGTTAAATTCCATATATGGATAGGTGAATGTGTGTATGTAGAACAGTTTACAGTTTGCAGTTTGCAAGCATGTTAAGTTGGCAGATCGTCATTACGTAAGTAGGTTTTACTAATGTAGTAAATGGGCGTGGCATTCGCATGGAATTCGCTAGCGGGTGGCTCTATTAATAGATAAATGGCCGAGCCAACTTTTTACAGTCAATTTAAATATAAACGCTTGACAGCTGAACTTCGCATACGAATTTAATGAATTAAAACCAAATTAAATTCATTTATGTACATGTATATATGTATATGTATGTATATCTAACCATAGCGAAATATGCGTTTAAATGTGCCAAAGCAGAAACACGAAATAATCAATTATGCTAAATCATTGTGTGTGGGGGCGGTGGGAGGGATAGAGTGCAAAACTAATTTAACGTCAAATGTTAAATGGCTGCGAGCCCAAGGCTATGCTGTTAACTGGCCCAGGCGAGCGCTGTTAAGTGTCATGCGACAGTTAGAATTTACTAGCAGAGCAGCGCAGCTGACTGAGCTGCGCACTGCACGTGTTGGCGACCATGACCAACAGGTAGCGTCAGCGTCAGCAATGCTCGTGGTGTGCGTGTTAGGCATTTGAAATTGCACACACACACACACGCCAGCCAGTGCTACCACATGTAATTATTATTATTGCGCGCTTTGCATGCAATTAAAAAAAATGTTTGTATGTATGTACATATATATGTGTGAATGTATGTATGTGTGAATGTATGTATCTGTGAATGTATGTATCTGTGAATGCATGTGTGCTTATGAAGGGCTAACAACAGGAACGCCCACGCACACAAACTTGTTCATTGACAAATGCCGCTGCATTACAGCAAACATGCACACACACATACTCGAAGCAATTGCAAAAAGCCTTGATCTTGATCGCATGAACGTAGTACATACACATGTACATATGTACATTCACACACACACACTCATATATTTATATATGTATATATATATATATATACTTATACATATACAGAGCTGGCGCAACAGCGAACAGCAATTGTTGTTGCTATTATTTATTACACTTGAATTAATTTGATTTGCAGCCAAGACAAGTTTTTCATTTGTTGGCCAACCTTGTCTTTGCCCATTTTGACGGCGCCGACGTCGAGGGCGACCGCAAATGGCACCTCGCACTTGTACTTGCTCTTCTGTAATTTCGCGATTGCATTTACATATTTGCATCTATTAAGACAGTGGGCGGCCTATTATTCCTTTTAATTAATAGCACATTAAAACAGGGCACAAAATTTATGCGTTTTTCTTTAGATTTTTCATCGTATATTATCCTTCGCAGAAATAAGCGCGGCAGAATTAACAAAACCTTACATACGTACATACATATGTATGATGTATGAATGTATGTATGTGCATATATATTGTGCGCTATTCTAACATACTGCGTACAGTCACATGTGGCTCTAATTTACGATAATTTAATATATAATATTTTATGATTTTTAATAATTTCTTGAGAGCAACTACAATGAGAGAGACAGAGAGAGATTCTCAGAATAAGCAGTCACAAATACATGAACAATTTTGCATTTTCTGTTTCTTATGTGTTCAACACCTTCGATCACTTTGCTACATTGTGGCGCCAGTGATCTTCAGCACTTGTAAAAATCGGTGCTTCGTTTATGTTTGAAATTGAAATCATTCTTGATTTGACTGACGAAAATGGGATATTTTTTAAAGAGAATTCGAAAGCTGATTTTTCCCGCACACAAAATATAATATTCAAAGCCACTTTTGACAGAAAATGTTTTAAGATTTTTTAAGTTACATATTGAACTTTTATTTATGTATTTTTTTGCCAACGAATTTTATCCTGATATGTGTACTTTCTACGGTAAAGTAGACCACGAATAGAGCGGCAAAAAATAAAAATATTATCGTTGCAGTGTACATGACGCCAGCTGCCTTTCTTAAAAACCGTTATGGTGCGCACTCTGAGTGCTGTGTGACTGTCGACTGTGATCAATAAAACAAAAAGAACAAGCCACGCCGAAAATAAGATACCCCTGCAAACTACACATCTAATGTACACATAGAAACAGAATTATGGACATGGTTATATCGACTTGCCTAATGATGCTGATCAAAAATATATATATATATCTATATATATAAAGCTGTGAATTTAACTTTTGAAATAGGTTTATATATATATATATTATATGGTCAGAGATGTATCCTTTAATGCGTTACAAACTTGACGACTTAGTTATAGTATCTGCTACAGGGGCTGAGGCGGAGATGCGAGACAGGATTGATAAAATATTGTGGGTGCATAGAATAGATAAAGGAGATGCGCTTACAGTTACCAAATAGTCGTCGTGGCGATCGCACGGTTTATTTTCGGCTCTTGTCTTCAATATTAGATTCGATTTTCTGATTCGCGTTTCGCGTTTAGTTCATTTTTCCAGTTTCGTTTTGTGCCGCTTCTTGCAAATTTAACTGCACATTCAGAATGTACTCGTATGTAAAATTATAGGCACAGCATAAATGCTGTGATTCACAACCAATTTGATCCAATACATAATACGCGATAAACATTTTTAATGAGTATAACTCTTAAATATATAATGAAGTATCTGAAATTAAACGCAGGATAGTTAAATAATGTTTCAACTTACACGAATGCAATTAACATCACCATTTTCTTATTTTCTTTGGGAGTGATTTTGCTCTCTGCTCTCAAAAGACAGAAAATATATAAAATAACCATTAATATTGAGTAATTTGCTTAAGTTTTCTGCATTTCATTAACTAATTTTTTTCCCCTTATTTTTTTGCAGAAAAATATGGTTGTTTAACGCCAGCAGAGTTGTTGCAGCGATTGAGTTGCAACAGTAGCAGCAGCAGCAGCAGCTCCACAGCAGAAACCTCCACCACTACCACTACCACTACCAACACCAACAATAATACCAACAACAGAACACCAACCCCACCCGCAACAGCCACAAAAGACTGCGACGAAAATTCGTCAACAGCAGAAACAGAAGCAGCAGCAACAACAACAACAGAAGCAACAACAACAAGCAGCATACCAAAAGAAAACGCCTACAGTCCGACTGCGCCGCCAGCTGAAAGCGACGACGTTGACGTTGACGTCGACGTAGACGTTGGTCTTGAGACACCAAAGCCCCGTTATTACGGCGCTGGCGTTGTCCTAACGCAGGCGCAGCGCAAAGAATATCCGCTTGAGCGCAACAACAAGAACAACAAATCGAGCGACGTTGACGTTGACGTCGACATCGACTGTAGCATTAGCAGCGCTAGTAGCGTTAGTAACAGCAGCAGCAGCAACAGCGACGACGACGACGACGACGATTCTGATGACGGCTGCAAGCTAATCGTTGACGAGAAGCCTCTGCTGCCCGTCGACCAGCCGTTGTCGCTGCGCATCCGCAGCACACCACCCAGTGCCGATCAGCGACCCAGTCCACCGCCGCCCCGCATTCCCGCCGTTCGCTGCAGCGTTATACAGCGTGCACCCCAGCGAGAGGCCCAACAACACCAAGAAGAACACCAACAACAAGAACAGCAACAACAACAGCAACCGCATCATCATCAACAGCAGCAGCAGCGTGAACGGGAACTGTTATATCAGTGTGAGCGTGAACTGTTATACCAGCGTACACTTGACCTTGAGCAGCTGGGACCGGAGCAACAGGAGCCGATCGATTATCACGTGCCGAAGCGAGACAGCGATAGTGAGCTGAACGCACTGCGACTGCAGCGTGCGCGTCGCGAGAGCGTTAGAGAGGCCCGTCGACGCAGCAGCTATTTGGCAGCGCGCGTCTTGCAGCTGAATCCGCGACTTGTGCGCAGTTTGCCTGGCATTTTGGCAGCGGCTGCCGGACACGGTCGCAGCAGCAGCAGCAACTCTGGTCAGAGTTTTCAAACGAATAACGGTTTTAGCGGCAGCAGCAGCGGCGGCGGCGGCAGCAGCAGTGGTGGTCAGAACGGCAGCAGCAGCGGAGGTGGCGGCGGCAGTGCTGGTTCACCTGGCAGCGGCAGCGGCAGCGGTGCTGGCAGCTTTGGCAGCGGCGGCGGAGGAGGGGGAGGAGGCATGGGCGGCGGTCGTGACGGTCGCGGCAATTACGGACCAAATTCACCGCCCACCGGCGCCTTGCCACCGTTTTACGAGAGCCTAAAGAGTGGCCAAAGTGCCGACGGCCAGGCGACGACGCCCACTGGAAATGTGCAACAATTGTTGCACAGCAATTCGCACTCACAGTTTCTCATACAGAACGCCGCAGCCGCTGCATATCTAATGTCGAATCAGCAGTATAACAGTTGCAACAATGGAACGGGCGGCGGAGGAGGAGGAGGTGGCGGCGGTGGTGGATCAGGTGGAGGTGGAGGTGGTGGACTTGGAGGAAATGCTGCTGTTAACATCGATGGTAATAACATTTTGAACTTTGCCAGTGGTTTGGGCAACTCGAATTATAATGACATCAATTCCAATTCCAAATTTCATTGCACAAATGTGACGCATCCCTTCTATGGTGGCAATCCATCAGCTTATGGCATAATACTCAAGGATGAGCCTGATATTGAATATGATGAGGCGAAAATCGATATTGGTACATTTGCCCAGAATATCATACAGGCAACAATGGGTAACGTTGGTAGCGCTGCCGGCGTTGGCAGCGGCGCCAACAGCAATGGTTTCTCGGCGAGCGCCTACGAGGATGCGATCATGTCCGATTTGGCCAACAGTGCGGCCGCGGCGGCGGCAGCAGCAGCGGCCCAGTGTCCAAATGTGAGTGGAGGTGGCGGCGGCGGAGGAGGGGGTGCGGCCGTCGTTGATCCCCTGCAATTTACGGCAACGCTGATGCTCAGCTCACAGACGGATCATTTGCTGGAGCAGCTGTCGGATGCCGTTGATCTCAGTTCGTTTCTGCAGCGCAGCTGCGTCGATGTCAATGGCGATGACGATGACGGTAACTCGACCAACAACAACAGTCCCCATCATCGCCACGACTTTGAGCTGGTGTGGACGCCATTTCTGACGCCCGATTCGGATGCGTTGTCGGTGTCGGTGTCGGTGACGCCGCATGCTGTCCAGTTGGATGCGTTGCATGAGAATCTGCTGACGCAGCTCACCAACAACATGCAGCGCAACAACAACAACAACGGCAACAATGGTTATGGCGCTCCGCAACATGCTGTTGTTGGTAACAACAATATGCAGCAACATGTCAATGCACAGCAGCAACAGCAACAGCAGCAACAACAACATTTGCAACAGCAACAGCCGCCACCATCGTATCAGCATGCCACGCGCAATTTACTGCAAATGCAGCAGCAACATAGCAACAATAATGGCAGCAATAATAGTAGCAACAACAACAACAACAGTTACCATCAGCAGCAGCAACAGCTGGCGCAGCAGCAATTGCTGCAGCAGCAGCAGCAACAACAACAGCAGCAGCAGCAACATCACTCACATCACCAGCAGCAGCAACAGCATGCCTATCAGCAACATAATCTATATGCACAACAGCAGCAACATCATGCACAGCAGCAGCAGCAACAACAACAACAACAACAGCAGCAGCAGCAGCAACAACATCATTTCCATCAGCAACAGCAGCAGCAGCAACAACATCCCTCGCATCACTCACAGCAACATGCGCATCATCATCAACACCATCAGCAGCACCAGCAACACCAACAACAACAGCAGCAGCAGCAACAACAGCAACATCACAATAGCCACAACGATAACAGCAATCTATCGCTGCCGTCACCAACAACAGCTGCTGCTGCTGCAGCCGCTGCTGTTGCAGCACTACGTCCCATGTCCAGCAGCAGCAGCAGCAGCTCAAATCTGCTCGATGCGAACACGGCAGCTGTTGCTGCTGCCGCACTGCTCGACACAAAGCCGCTCATTCAAAGCGTAAGTTCCATACAGATACTAAAGTCCATCGAATGCGTCAGCGATGAGCCACCAGTTGAGCTGGTGGACGTGGATCCGCGGAATCATCTGGTGCTTAATAAGAGCACCAGCTGCAGCAACGACAACAACAATAATAACAATCTTAGCAACAATTGCAACATCAGCAACACAACAACATTTCTAAACAGCGAAAATACCACTAACATTGTTCGTGGCAGCAACATTTGCACCAGCAACATTTGCAACAGCAACATTTGCACAAGCAAAATTTGCATAAGCAACATTTGCAGCAGCAGCATATGCAACAGCAACATTACTAACATTAACAGCACAAATAATAACACCCACATTATTAGTAACAGCAACATGAATGTTAACAGCAACATGAGCATTAACAGCAACAGCAACGTGAGTAGAAACGTTAGCAGTAATAGCAATACCAGTAAGCTGACCGGACGCGCCAAAGCCGTCGCCTATGGCTCCACAATGGTCACGTTCGTCTCGACGGTGAAGCACTCGTTCGAGATGCCCGCCCAGCAACATGTGCATCGTACCACATTGCGCTCCTTGGCCAGTGCAGCGGCTGCAACCGCAGTGGGTCTGTTGCCACCATCGCCCACCGTTTCGGTGCTCAACGAAAGTAAAATGCTACAGCGGCGGGTGAGAGAGGAGGGAGAGAAGGGAATGGGAGGGTGGGGCTACCCCTACATGTTATATTGTATGTGTATATAAAGTCGAAATTTCGTATAGCAACGAAAACTTCATCAATTCCTACGTGGAATAACTCTATCGTAGCAAAGTTGTTCCCTATATGAAAATTCGACTCTGTTGCTGTCTCCGTTTAATTGTTGTCTCGTCTTTTGATTCTGTTCTTCATCCTTGCCTCCTGAATTCCTTGCCATTTTACAGATTACTCGTTATGTATATGCTAAATTAAAAATTACCAGATTTCAATCATTTTGTCATTTAATGTTTAATAATTTATATTAAGCGTTTCTACAAACTGTTCCAATGAAACTTATATATGGATAAGGTCAACTGATAGAGAAGTTGGACTTATATATATATATGTGTGCTTAGTTATATTAATTCCAATAATTGTTAACATAATTTCTTTAGATAGATGTTTCCAATATTCCATTTTTATAGCAAATCATTTGATTTGTATATTATTTTCTTTATTTTGTTAAGCTTTTAAAAAACACAATTCTTTAGCTTTTTCTGATATATATCAGCTCAAAGCATGATCAGTTTATCTAAGGTACTATTCAAACTGTACTTAAGAGAAGCCGTTAACGTCATTCCAACTAGTTTAATTTTAGTTTGTAATTCTTAGGTTCGTGTTGACATTTTGAAGTTACCGTAAGTCTTGTTTATTCTATGCTGCCCACCTTCCACCTACCTGCATCACTTCGTTATCCTATGTTTTGTTGTCTGTTGTTGTTTGTTTGTTTTGTTTGTTTGTTTGTTTGTCAGTAGTCTCGTTCTGCGTCTCTCTTTTGTATCGATGTATTTAGAAACAACATTGTGCTAATTTATCAATTATATTTTGTTATCCTGTGTAGTTGGGCCTGCCGCCAGATTTGCAGCTGGAGTTTGTGAATGGAGGTCATGGGATTAAGAATCCGTTGGCCGTCGAGAATACGCACGGGGGCCATCATCACCACCGCATACGCAACATGGATTGCATCGATGATCTCAAGCATGGCCACCCGTCGCAGCAGCAGCAGCAGCAGCATCAGTCGTTGCAACAGCAGTCGTTGCAGCAGCAGTCGTTACAGCAGCAATCTCTGCAGCAGCAGCAGCAACAACAGCACTCGCCACAGCAGCAACACTCGCCGCAGCAGCAGCAACAGTCGCAGCTGCAACAGGCTGCTGTTGCCGCACAGCATCATTCGCTTAGCCAGCATTCACTGAACAACAATACCAATAGCAACAATGTCAGCAACAGCAACAATCGCAGCCACCACAACAACAACAGCAGCAGCAGCGTCAGCAGCAACAGTAGCAACCATGACGACTCCCTCTGCCCGAACAACAGTGGGGCCGAGGATGCGAACAACAAGTTCGTCTGTCGCGTCTGCATGAAGACGTTCTCGCTGCAGCGGCTGCTCAATCGCCACATGAAATGCCACTCGGACATCAAGCGATATTTGTGCACCTTCTGTGGCAAGGGATTCAACGATACATTCGATCTGAAGCGGCATACGCGCACCCATACAGGGGTACGTCCCTATAAGTGTAACCTGTGCGAGAAGAGCTTCACGCAGCGCTGCTCACTCGAATCACACTGCCAGAAGGTGCACAGTGTACAGCATCAGTATGCGTACAAGGAGCGACGCGCTAAGGTGAGTCACATTCGCAAATTCAACGCCAAACTACCTAAATGAAAATGTTAGCACAAAATGTATTCAAATATCTGAAGTGACTTGAAGCGAACTGTGAATCATTTGCTGCTAAACAATTTTAATATATTTCGCCTTTCCTCCTCTTTGTGCAGATGTACGTTTGCGAGGAATGCGGTCACACCACCTGTGAGCCGGAGGTCCACTATTTGCATCTGAAGGACAATCATCCATTTTCACCGGCGCTGCTGAAGTTTTACGACAAGCGTCACTTCAAGTTCACGAATTCACAGTTCGCCAACAATTTGCTCGGCCAGCTGCCGATGCCGGTGCATAACTAACTAGATATTAAATTTACATACATAACATAAATTAAGATTAAACATAAGCTATTACTACTTCTACTAACGGAAATCGTACCGTAAATGCAAATTCAACTTTAAGCTGAAGTTTTATGAAAACTGCCCCACGAAAATGGAGAGATTAATGTTTTGTATATGTATAATAACATATCAATATATATCCATATATATATATATATATATATATGTATCAAGTAAGACAGAGAGAGAGAGAGAGAGAGAGTTTCATTTAGGATAGTAGATGCGTAAGCGAAGAAAAGTTTATTTTTTAGTTTAGCTCAAGAATTTCATTTTCAAGCATTCTCTTTCGTCCTTAACACTTTGCTGTGCAAACAAAAAAAAAAAAAAACAACAAAAAAAAAACGAATAATTGATAACATTTTTAAATATTTCATTTCGTTTAGTTTGATATTGAAAACAAAAACGGACAATTTTTAGATCGTAAGTTTTTTTCTTGGCAAGTCCAAAAACTAATTTTATGCTCATAGTCAAAGTTTTTTTTTTCATTTATATAGTTATATATTTTTTTTTGGATTTCAACATTTTGTCGCACTGAAAATTAAGCTTAGTTTCTAAAAAAAAAATGCTTTAAGCAAACATAACAAATATTGGAATAGTATCGAGTAAGGAACGAATAAGTTTTAGTTTCTTTAACTCTCTCACATTTTGAATATGCTGTTTACTGTTTTAGCTAAATGAACAAGCTGCAAAACCCTTGCATTTATTTACAAAAGAAAAAGAAGAGAAAAATTTATACTTATTTAAACATATATAAAGAAGTCCAAGTACTTAAGATCTTAAGTTTACATATATACAAATAATATTGCATTGTATTTGTACTTATTTTTATAGAAACTTTGAGCATTCACGAGAAAATGCAATTATAAAGAGGCATAAACAAAAAACAAAAAAAATTAAACAACAATGATGAAATGTAAGAATAATTAGTTTATTCAAAGCAGTCTAATAATGTATGATTTATTAAATAATTAATTAAGATGAAGAAAAACTCTGTATGGTAAATTATGCTGTTCATAAATGAAGTCAAAGCACAACACACAAACACACAACACACACATTTGTAACATATCTTAATTATTATGTATTTGTAAGGCACACGTACACACACACACACACCCTCTCAACACGCACAAACGCACACACATTTATTGAATTTAGTTTAATATTTTATTTTAGTTTTCGAGTTATTAAAAACAAAATAAAAATGCTGGAGCAACCACCAATTTGTACTGAGAACACGAAAGAACAAGAACATTATAAATTAGTTAAGATTTCAACATTTTATGTATATATATATATATATATATATATATTTATATTTGTAATATTTTATATATATTTATATATATATATATATGTCGTTTTGTTTAAAAGTTTTACTTTGTTGTGAACAGCTTTTTGAAAAGATAAGCTATGCAATCATAACTCATTGCATAATCTTTGAAACATATTATGGAGCTAACGAATTCCGTACAGTTATCAACTACATTAAATTTATAGGTTCCACACTCAACCTCTTCCCCCTCCCTCACTACACACGCGTACAGTAAAATTATATAATTTTTTTTTTTGCATAGTACTTTAAGCAACAACGGGTTATTTGTGCAATCGCTTGGTGTGGTCTAAAACAAAAAAGAAAAAAAATAAATACATATAAATAACTATAGTTCGTATTTAGCATCAGCAGCGGCGCACTGGCGTGTGCCTCAAAATACACACACACAAACACACACAAACAACCTACTCATTGACACACACAAACACACACACACATAATTATTTACATATAGTTTATATATCACTAAGCTATAACAAATAGTTAACTTCCATCTTTTCTTTCAACTTTCTACTTAGCTTTAAAAAAAAAAAAAAAAAAAAAAAAACATACGAAAACTGTAATTTAACGGCCTTAACTATATGTTAACACTTACACACATATACTTTATGTACTTCCATGAAAGAACAGAATATTGCAAATTTTTATTTAATTTTCATTTGAATTTTTCAAGTACACTTGTCAAAATTTGAATTAAATACCAAGTGTATCCAAAATTCGTATAAGAGAATTCATTAAATTAGTTTTAAACACATTTTTTTTCTTAACATAATTATTATATGTATACTATAAAAATTTATGAAATGCAAAATATATATAATAAATATTGAATATTACAAAAGCGAACGAAGTTTTTCTTTTTACTCGAACAGAAAATTCAAATTTGTATAGTTTCAGCCAAGAAGCATCAAAACAATATCTTCTACTGGTCCGCCTATGTGCTCGACCCATCCATAATTGTGATTTCTTTCGGATACAAGAAATTCCAAAGGTAAATCGTGTTTCCAAATTGGAACGCAGTATTATTCGAGAGTCGATAAAACTTGATGAGGAAGGCACTGCTCTTATAAATCGGTTTAGTTTTGATAATAAGGTTATAAGCTTAAGCTTACAGATGCAGGACAAACGGACATGGCTATATCGACTCGACTAGTTATGCTGATCAGGAACGTCTCCGTCAACTATCGTTTTGTGCATCACAACGTAATTACAATAAATTCAGCTGTAGTCGAGATAGCTGAACCCAAGTCTCGAATTCATCTCAGTACAACATATGTATTCATTATCAGCCGAGATGATTTATGCATGTTCGTATCCATTAAATCACGAACTTTACATTTTATAAGAACAACAGACTTCGAAGATTAAAAAAACGGAATTTTATTGTACCGATAACTTTCCCCGTATGGACGGATCGCCTAGTAGTATATAGCATAATATCGATATCAGAGTATAAAAGCCAATAAATTTCCATTACAATCAAAAGTCGGGTAACATTTTTTTTCAAATGTTTTCACTTTATTTATTTTGCTAGTTTTCATTATGTTTTATGTTCAGTGTTTTGTTTGTTTGTATTTTGTTTTTTTCAATTTTTTTGTTTGTGATTTTGTGTTTTTTTTTTTGTAGTTTTTATATTTTTTACATTAATTACTGACATACACACACAGACACGGAATTACAATAAAAACTAAATTTTCTTCATTTTTATTTGTTGTTGCTTGTTTCACATAATTTTATATATCATTTTTTATTATCAAGAATTTTAATATATGTATATTGTTGTTTGTTGTTGTTATATATTATAATAGCATGTGTGTTTATTTTTTTTTGTGTGGAGCTGCCTTTCATTAGTTAAACTAAATGCTTCAAATATTCAACTATTAAAAAAAAACGGTATAACTAAAAAGGGTTTTCCAAATAAAATCTTTTGATAATTATTTTTTTTTAGATTTTGTTTGAGCAAATTAGGCCAATTGATTTCTTTTTTTTTTGTTTTTCAGTGTAGAAAAATAAGTACAACATAAAGATTTTAGAAAAGTTGTGACAAATATTCATAATAAATTTCAACAAAATTCAAGTTTCAGGGCTGTCGACTTTTGTGCTATTTTTTTTTTCTTCATTTTTTCATAGTATTTTTTAACAACAAATTTTGTTTATGTTTTAGCTCATTTAAAAATAATTTTCATGCTTGCGCCTGTCAATTACCAATTTCCATCATTATTTTTATAAATCTTATGCCATTAAAAACAATTTTATACGTTAATTTTATTATTATTATTAATATGTAATAGAAGTATATGCGATTTTTGTTTGTATTTTATATATATACGTTTTAGTTCGAAACTACACATTTAATTAAATGTATGTATGTATATACTATTTGTATGTGTATATATGAATAATATTATTTTTATAAATTTTTAATTTTTTTTTTTTTAGTATTATATATTGTTTTTTAATTCCAAATCGAAGACGTATCAATTTGTGATTGTGTAAACATCTATTTTCAATTGAATTATTCGTTTCTTTCCATTCACTACTGCTTTTTATTTTCTGTTTATGATTTTTCATCAATATTGTGTTTCTTTTTCATTCGAAATTTTGTTAGGTACATTTACTTAAGAAAAAGAAAACAAATTGAATATAAAATATTGCGCTTCGTCTAATGTATTCGTGTGTTCTTATAGGGGGCGTGGCGTTACATTACGGGCGGGTACTGTTTTTATTTTTTTTTTTTGCTAGACTATTTAGTTCTCAAGTTTTCCCATTGTTTTTGGGTTAAAAAAACTACACAAAATGTTAAATTAGCTTTCAAGTACATTATTTTCGACTGACTGTGTGTGTGTGTGTGTGAGTGAGTGTGTGAGTGTGCGTGTATTTGTACATATTTGTATGCATGTATGTATGTATGTATGTATATGCCTATAAAGTTCTTGTTACGCTTTGTTACCATACTTGAGTTTTTTTTCATTTTGTTTTTTTTTTGTTTTTGTTTTTTATTGCAGAAAAATTTGGCATCCAAGCCTCTTTTTGTTTTTTAAATTTCAAGGCTTGGTTTACACTTAAAAAATAGTATTTTTTCTCATTCATTTATAGTATTACAGTTAAGGTGTTCGTTTTGCTTTTGCTTACGAGAATTTCTGTTTAGTTTCGATTTTTTTTATATAATACAAAAAAATTTGTTCACTTTTTGTGTGCGCAGTCGTTGAGATTTATCTTCTTGTTGTTTATTTTGTTTTGGGTGCTAGAATTTCGTAGATTCATTGGCGTTTTTTTCTTCATTTTTTTTTTTTACCATCCTCTTGTTGCCCAGGTTCAAGTATTTTGTGGTGTTTACGGGCGGGGCTTTTGTATCTGTGTCTGTGTGTGTGTGTGTGTGTGTGTGTGTGTGTGGGTGTGTACAGTGGGCCGAGATAAAGATTTGTTTCTGCATTATTAGTTTTTTGTTGCACCGCTTGCGTTTTCCTCTCCTTCTAGTCACAGTATATAAAATAGATTTCATATACAAAATGAGTTGTTTTTTTTTTTCTCTTTTGTTTGGTGTATGAATTATTTTCTTTGTGTAAAACCAAATGTATTTCAAGTGTGTGTGGTCAGAATGCGGTCTGCAACTCGATTTATCGCTTCACCGCTCTCTTTCTCACTCTCACTCTCTCTCTCTCTCTCTTTCTTTCTCTCTCGCTCTCTCTTTGTGTGCTAATTGTCGGGATACTGATTGCGAGTTCATAAAATTGATGAAATATAGGAGTTTTTGCATGAAAGGAGTACACATTCAGTATCCTGCACAAAATATATAATCGATTCTTGATTAACGATTTTCATTTAAAAACCTATTCAAGTCATTTCCTTGATTAAAATTCTTGAGCCATATGACAAGCTGACTCGATAGTTATATGTATCCGTTCATCCATATTTTCTATGTTAACTGGTCTCTCGTTAAAGCTATGTTCATGAAAGTCGGTACAGTTGTAAGTTTAAGGCGGAGCCAACCGAACCGGTTCAAAATATTTGATAGACGACACAGATGTGATAATGAAAACGTTGAGCTTATTTACGAAATGTTTTTACCTATTTATAGGTATTATGTAGCCAATTTGGAAACATTTAAAGTGTGTACTGCTCTTCTGTCCATGCATTCTATAAGTATCTTGGCATACCTTGGCATATTGTACTTTCTACATAGCTAACTTGGCGAAGATCGGAACATATCTGTAGTTTGGGGAGAAATAACATTCATATCAAACAGCTGTCTCTGGTATAACCAAATCGTAAAGTTCTCAAAGGCCGATTATTTCTCTAAATTGTATTGCTTGTTTTTGAATTCCGCTTATGAACACTAAGCGTATTTTGTACATTCTTTCCCATATGTGTCTCAACAGGCAGACAGACGTGTGTTTGTCTGTCTCATTTTGCGCTGAACTTGCATTAACAAACCATCTTTAAAAAGCAACTTAAGACGGTGCGGAAGACATTCAAAGACTACCCATGTTCTGTGTGTGTGTGTGGGTGGGTGTATTTTTGAGGGTGCGTGGAACTAGCCTTATGCCACAGCAAGTGTCTGGCTTTAGATGCCACAAGCATCTAAATGCTGCAAGCATTCGTATAATACATATACTCGTATGCATAAGTGCAGTTGTGTGTGCGTGTGTGTGTATGTGTGTGTAGCATTGCTTAAATGCAACAATGATTATTAATTTAACGTTAGCATAACAAATAAAAGTTAGACAACAACAAACATGATTATGCTTAATTATGCTCTTTTGACGAAGCGACACTAAAACGTTTAAGAATGGCGCAACAAAGTGGAAACGAAAAAGAAACATTTCATATGTATATATATATATATATATATATGTGTGTGTGTGTGTGTGTGTGGGTGTGGTCAACTATTAGGCTAAATTTGCAGCTACATAATAATTATGATAACTATATTATATATATATATATATATATACAAATATATATATATATATATTTGTATTCGTTTATTTGATTTTTATTTTTTCAGGCAGGTCCCTAAAAAAAAACTCATATTTTGTAATTGTAAAATAAAGAATTGCGTCCAATATATATATATATATATATGTAAACGAACATTGAGATAATTATGTGTCTGCTTCTTTTTCATCTTCTTACTTGTAATAACTTTATTTTCGTATATTATTTTAACATTAAATGCTTTGAATAAATTTGTTAATTTCAATTTGCGCTAAAATACTTCGTGTCAACCTGTCAAAGTTTTGCGCGTTTTCACGCAGCTTCGTAAACGTTACTACATGTTGCATACACTTATACGTTTTTCATATTCTTTTTTTTTTTTTATATATACTTTTCTTTGTACGTATATATAATTAATGCAATTTTGTTTGGAGTAAATATACATGCTTCCAAAAAACAAAAATTATATGAAAATATTCAACCGAAGCAAAACTTAGCACAGAAAAACAAAACAAAAAAAAAAAAGAACGTTAGTTAAAAGAACTCGCAAAATTAATTTTCATTAAATGCAAAACATAAGTTTTTATATATTTCTATATATATATATATATATATATATATATATATAATGTATTATATATGTAAAGATCATGAACTTAACTATTAATATTATATAAGCTAAATATGTATATATATATATATGTATGTATGCGTATGTATAGAGTTGCCTTGCGTAGGTCTGTGTATGTGCATGTGTGTGTGTGTGTATGTGTGTGTGTGTGTGTGTGTGTGTGTGTGTGTGTGTATGTGTGGGTGGATGTGTGGGTGTACGTGTGTGTTTGTAAAGCATGCTCTCGAGCTTATGACTATGAAAAAAAAGGTGCTTATATATATATATATATATACATATATAACTGGCAATATATATATATATATATATAATGTATTAGACAAATAAGTAGCATATATGGATTCGTATATGTATGTGTTTTTTTGCGAAATTAATTAAAACCTATAACTTAGCTGCTAATTAAGGAAACCACAATAATTTCAATTCAAGTTTTAAAGCACAACAACTTTGAAGCTTTCTTTTCTTCTTCTTCTTCTTGTTATAGTTTATAGTTAGATAATAATACACATTTCATTAATATTAATTCGAATAGTTTTCTATCAGCTGCAGGCGTGTTTTGAGAATTGCACATAGGATTGAAATAAAAATGAAGAAAATCCTTTCCAATCTGTATACAGTAGACTCTCGGAAACAGTTAAGTCGCCCAAAAAGAAAACTAACCCGAATAAGTCAATTAAAATATATATATATATATATTTTGTAAATAAAGCGATACCAAACTGACTTAAGATTCGTATTGTGATGCCGCCTTTTGGACAGAATTTCATCGATATCAAAAAAATTAAATCACTAAAATTCAGCAACAACAATTCGGAGAGTCTACTGTGACATGTAGCAGCGATCAGCAGGAGGGTGAAGTGACGGCGCAACTGTTTGAGGTTTATAACAATATACAAAAATACTGACAAAGGGATACTTAAAAAAAAATATATATTTGAGAATTTTGGAACGCGTTTCCTGATGATCTTTTGATTGAGTTACAAAACTAAATGATGCATTTTTGGTTTCGAAAGCAATACAGTCAAGGAAAACATACATAAATTAAATCAAAATCAATACTGAAAAAAAATAAAACGCAAACAGAATCTTTTAGATACATTGCACGCTCCAAAGACAGTGTGTTCGAATTCGTATAAGCAAATATCTTTCCTATTTTTCTTATGTTCATTTCAAGGCGTCTATATAGCTAGGACTGAGTATATATGAGAATATGCAAAAAAAAAAATAAAAATAGCGTTAAATTTCAACTGGAAGCGAGATCAAAGCAAAAATTAAAATTTTAAAACGGCGTGCATAGAGAACACAGAGAGGGAGAGCAAGAGAGAGAGAGAGCAAGAGAGAGAGAGAGAGACAGTAGACAGAGATAGAAGGTATATAACTATATCGTGTAGTTATTACTTTAAGTAAAAATTTCAGACAACTTTTTGCATATGCAACGAAAGACAAACGAGCTGTATAAAGACACAGACAGAGACGAGAGATAGTGTGTGAGCAAGACAGACAGACACTGTGTTTACGAGTGTGTGTGTGTGTGTGTTTGTTTGTTGTGTGTGTGTGAAAGAGACAGACTGCATCATTCTCATACATCCTTATTATTTTTGTTTTTTTTTTTTGGATTTTTTTTTGTTTTGCCTTTTTCAATTATATAGAAACAACTACAAAATACAGTTATAAATACGTTTTACACATTGATTTAGTTTAAGATCACGTTAAGATCACGAGCGCGACAGAGATAGCAAATTACTATACATATAATTATACATATATATGTATATATATATATATTAAAAAAAAAAAAAAAACAGAATCTCGCAATATACACACAAATATATATATATATATATATATATATATATATATATATGCATATAAAGGATAAGTCGTGTAGGTGTGTGTGTGTTTGTGTGTGTAAATGTGTGTTTTGTTTATGGTTTGTGCGTCAAGAATTCGAACTTGTTGCTGGATCTGCTACTGCTGCTACTGTTGCTGCTGCTGCTGCTGCTGCTGCACCCGTTTGATGCATTTGCCCCCTTATATCCTTATATGTCAGCATAGGTGTACACCTTACATGGCCACATCGTCACATTGTCAGACGTCATCGTCTTCATCACACGCCGCTGACCACTCAATTGTAGATGAAGTTGGCGGCATCGCAAAGTGCATCGCTGTCATCATCGAATTTGCCATTCATGGCATAGTTGCTGGTGCCGCTGCCATAGACCCATTCCTTTTTAATGAAATCGCCATCGGTGGTGGATGATGAGGTATTATGCAGGCCACCCAGCGAACTGTGATCCAAACGAAAATCATCGTCATCATCCGGATAGAGCTGTACGGGTATGCTGTCGGGTATTGAATGCGACTCAAATAGATTACCATATGGCGGCAGCGAGTGATTGAGATCGACATGATGATCAACCAGATCGCTGTCAAAATTCGAGATGCGAAATTTGGAGCTGGGCGGCGATTGTGGTGAATGCGGCACAACTGAATCCTCAAACATGACCTCCTCCTTGATGAACATGTCGTTGGAATTGTCGCCGGAGCCCGATGAATAGAGATTCGGTTCGACTTTGATAATGGCCGCTGTGGCCAGGGACGGTGATGATTTCTCATCGTCATCATCATCATCAAAATGATTGTGATGGTGATGATGGCTTTGATGATTGTGGCTATTATGATTGTGGCTCTGGCTGTGGCTGTGGCTATGATTATGATTTTGATTCAGGTGCTGTTGTTGCTGCTGCTGCTGCTGCTGCTGCTGATGATGATGAGGATGATGTCCATTGGATACAGCGCGCAATTGAGCGCTTGTCTCGTCCTCATCATCATCGTCATCATCATCCTCGTCGTCCATATCAGCCAGATGTCGACGTCGGTGGTGGTTTCGGTGGTTGGTTCTCTGCTGCTGCTGCTGCTGCTGTTGTGGCTGCTGCTGATGATGTTGCGTTCCAGTCACAACACGCTGACTGCTACAGTTGCTCTGCTGCTGTTGTGGTTGTTGTTGCTGCTGCTGCTGCTGCTGCTGCTGCTGATGGTGATGATGATGACTTCGCGTACTGCGAATTATTGTGTAGCCACCCAGCGCCGCCGATGAGGCAATTGACATTGGCACACACGTCGCCTTGGACACCACCATGGTGGAGGAACATGATGTGGATGACGATGAGGGCGACTGCGCTGGCGAACCAACTGAAAAGCAAATCAAGCCAATCATTAGTGATATTGTCACATGTCACATGTACAATCGCATATTAAACTACCATATTTCTAATTTATATATATATATATATCTGGGCATAAGAATAACAACATCAACATCATAATGAAATACAAAATGATCTTTGATTGAGCTTTGACAATCGATAGATGACCTGTGACACTTCTATTCAACTTTGCTAGAATATTATGCGTTATCTTTGTTTACCCTATACAATATAAAATGATAAGGAAATATTTATTCCATACTTAATACGTGAAATTCATTCAGCTGGCTAAACAGACTCAGATGCTAACTTTAAAGATTTGATATTTTTTTAAATAATATTATTTAGCAAGTAAGTTGTGCGTAGGAGCAACACTTATTGTTAATTAACGTTGCAAGTCACTTGCCAGTTGCCACTTACACTTACCGCCCGTCTGCTGGACGACGCTGGCCAGCGCCGAGCTAAGCGTGCCCGTTGAGTGTATGATTGGCGTTTTGCGCAGCATCTGCTGTGCCAAATTGCTGGCCGAGGTAGCTGTTGCTGGCAGTGCAGAACTGCAACTGTTGCTGCTATTGCTGTTCGGATTGCTGCTGCTGTTGCTGCAGCTGTTGATGTTGGTGGTGGTGTTGTTGTTGCTATTAGTGCTGGTGTTGGTGGTGGTGGTGGTGCTGTTGTTGTTATTGTTGATGATGTGATGGCCATTGCTGGTGCCTGCACCGCTTTGTATGACCTGTGTGTGCAACACGCTCGAACAGTTGCTATTGCCATTACCAATTGACTGATCTGTCGTCGACGACGACGACGACGACTGCTGCTGCTGTTGCATGTAATTCTTAATGACAATGGAGCGCGCAGGCGTTCCAACTAAAAATTGTTGTTGTTGTTGTTGCTGCTGCGACTGTGATGAGCTGGCTGAGGAGGAGTGCGGCTGCTGCTGCTGTAGCGAGGCATTCGATGAAGACCCATTCGAGGAGTCTTCGCCGGTTAAGCGATTATTGGTCAAGTTATGAACAGCGCTCTCAGTCTCCTCATCGCTCACACCCGACTGATCGTCCATATCCATATCGTGCGGCAGCGGCAGCTGCAACTGTTGTTGTTGTTGTTGCTGCTGTTGCTGTTGCAGACTTGTGCCGGCTTGTTCCAGATCCGGTTCCAGTTTGACAATGGCTGTTGCTGGCGTGACAACAATGTTGCTATTGCTGCCGCTGCTATTGCTACTACTGCTGACGGCGACATTGCTGGCTGCGGTGGTTGTTGTAGTTGTGGCGGCGACGGCAACGGCAGCAGTGGCGGCCACAGCAGCGCCACCCTTGGGCTGATCCCGCAGATGCACCTGCATGTGCGTCTGCAGCGAGGACTGCGTATGCAGCTTCTTCTTGCACACCTTGCACTCAAACGGAAAGTCACCGGTGTGCGTACGTGCGTGTATCTTCAGATTGTAACGCTGTCCAAATCCTTTGCCGCACACATCGCATCTGCAGACGACAAACACACAGATAGAGAAAGAATGAAGAGAGAGAGACAGAGAGAGAGAGAGATATTGTGTGTGAATTAGAGTTGAAGAAGAAGTCTTGAAAGTTACTTACTTGTGCAGCTTAACGCCCGAGTGGAGCTTGGAGTGACCGCGCAACGAGGCGAGCGCACTGAACACCTTGCCGCATATCTCGCACGTGAGATTCACATTCTCGTTGTGTATCTTCTTGTGCACCTTGAAATATTCAAAGCTCATGAACTCCTTGTGGCACACCTCGCATTTGTATTTATGCCGCTCCGATTGCTGGCCCGTATGCACGCGCATATGCTTTATGAAATTGGGGCGAAAGCGTACGACACGCCCACATATCTGGCACTCGTAGGGCTTGCAGCGTAGACAATGCTTCTCATAGTTCTTCAACGATTTCAACACCATATTGCAGATGGCGCATTTCATGTTGTTCGCATGCCCGCTGCGATGGATGTCAAAGAGTTCCTTCGAATCGAATTTCTCCACACACTCCATGCACTGATAGCTGGTCGTCGATGATGCCACCACTGTGTTTGTGGTCGTCACTTGCTTAATGGACTGTTGTTGTTGTTGCTGCTGCTGTTGTTGTTGCTGTTGTTGTTGCTGCTGTTGTTGTTGTTGTGCTAATGCCAGCGCCGCCATTTGTTGATGCTGCTCGTTGCTGCTGGACGACGATGAAGCGGCAGCAACAGCTGCTTCCGATTCAACTCCAGCTCCGGCTCCAGTTGCAGCCGCAGCTGAAGCAGTTGTCTGCAAGATCAGCTGTGCAGTGGGTGCACCCGACTGCTGCACCACATTGAGCACCGTCATCGGACTGCGACTGATCACAGCCGCTGTGGGCATGCGGACATATGTGGCGCCCGCCAGGCTGCTCATTGTCGCATTGCTTATGTAGACGGGCCGACGTTGCAGCTGCACCAGTGCCGCCTCCGAAACGGGCACACTTAATGGGGCACGCGTTGTGGTGCTCACTATGCTGCCGGTGGGCAGCACCAGCTGCTGTGCCGCTGTCGCATAATCCATTTGCTGTTGTAGCTGAAAAACAACAAACCAGATTGAACATTCAGATTAACAATTTGTCGATTATAAAAACAATAATTGTTGCTCAACAGGAGGAGTTAGTAACCAACATAAAAATATATTGCGAGCATTTCAACAATTAGCTGAACATTGAAATAACATTTTTAAATTATGCTACTTGATGGGAACTGAATTTTTAATTAGGAGTACTTGTTGCATTCTTGGTGCATCTGAAGAAGGGTCGAATCTTGTCTGGCAAACATTTAATAAAATAAAATTTGATATCTTAAAGTAATTAAATGCCATTAGTAATGATTATTCTAGCTGCTTGTCTTATTTATTATATACCTCGAGTTGTTGCTGCTGTGCTGACTGTGACATTTGTCCATTCTCATCCCGCTGGTCCTCTTCATCTTCGGGCAGATCTTCCAGCTCAAGTTTGACCTGCGTGTGAAGATGTTGCTCTTGTTGCTGCTGCTGCTGTTGTGGCTGGTTATGATGAAGTTGCTGCTCCTGATGTTGATGATGATGTTGCTGCTGAAGATGATGCTGTTGCTGCTGCTGGTGATGATGCTGATGTTGCAAATGTGTCGCCGTTTCGGGCTCCTCATCAGCTTCGGCTGCCTGCGCCTCCTCTTCAATATCCTGGAGATTCTCATCGTTGAGCTCTGGATCTTCCTCCTCCTCCTCGTCGAGCTGTTCGTCGTCCACCTCTTGATTCTCCACCTTGATGTCGCTAATGTCCATTACGCCAGTGGTTGTGCCATTTTCTGATGTTTGTATTACAACGCGGCGGCCATTAACCATATGTTGTTGTGTATGCGGCTGATGTTGCTGTTGGGCGCGATGTTGCTGCAGCAACAGTTGCTGATGTTGATCCTCAACACTCAGGCTGTTGTTGTTGTTGTGATTATTATTATTATTATTATTGTTGTTGTTAATGTTATTATTATTATGGTTGATGTATGCGGAAGCGCTGTTTGTTGTTGTTGTCGTTATTGTTGCATTTGTTGTTGTCGGTGGGTGGTTGTCGAGCTTCGCTGCCGTTGCCATGTGGAGCTGCTGTTGCTGCTGCTGTTGCAGATGATGGTGATGATGATGACGATGATGGTGATGATGGTGATGATGCTGTTCGTCATCCTGCTCCATGGGAGCATCTTGTAGTATAAATTCGATTTGTTGCGATAATGCGCTATCATTGATGGCAATCAGTCCGTCCATATCTTTGGCGGCAACGTTGTTGTTGTGGTGTTGTGGTTGGTGTTGGTGCTGGTGGTTGTGGTTCACGGCGTTGTGGCTTGTTGCTGCCGATGCTATGCCGATGCTGCAGCTGCTATTGCTGCCGCTGTTGCTATTGCTGCCACTGTTGCTGCTACTGCCGGCAAATAGTGATGGCAGCCCGGTTGCGTTGGAGCTAATGCTGCTGCTACTGTTACTGTTGCTATTGCTGCTGCTGACGCTGGCTGCATTTAAAACGCTGCTGATGCTGGCCATCCTCATAACAATATCCAACAACAGCAACAATGCACAAACAACAGCAACAACAACAACAACGACGACGACGACAACATCAACGGCAAACAACAACAATAATCAAATCTTGAGTGGATGGTGGTGGGGGAGGGGGGATGGAAAGTGCGGAGGTGTTGGAGTGTTTTTGCGCTCTCTCTCTCTCGCTCTCTCTCTTCCTTCCCCTATCCACTTCTTATTCGCACACTCTCTCTCTCTCTCTTTCTCTCTTGTTGCTGTTGTATTTGTCTGTAGTTAGTGCACGTTACAGTGCTGCTTCTGCTTCTTCTTGCTTTTGTTTTTCTACCTCTACTTCTATTCTATGTTCACACTGTTGCTGTTGTTGTTGGCGTTTTTTTTTTGTTTTCTTTTTTTTTTTGTTATTTGTGTGTTATTATTATTATTTGTGTATATGTTTTTAATTCACTTATTATTCATCGCATCGGTCGGTCATGCGGTGCTTTTTGATGCTTTCCACGCGGTGGCGGCGGCTGCTGCGACGGCGACGCTTGTTGGCGCTTCTGCTGCTGCTGCGGCACATTCGCTGTCTTTCCACATTTTTTTTTAGCTGCCGTTGCTGCTGCGCCGCTGCGGCCAAATTAATGTCGAATTTTTTTTCGTCTTTTTCTTTTTTAGTTGTTCTTTCTCTTTTTATTTTTAGTTTTCAAATATTAATCTTTTGTTGTTTTGTTTGTTTGTTTGTTGTTGCTGTTGCTTGGGGTAAAGACAATGCAACTGCTATAGGAAGAAGAGCCACTAAAAGCGTTTATTGTTATTGTTATTATTATTATTGATTTCCTTTTTGAATTGTTGTTCATCAAGTGCAGCTGTGTAGTTGCTTCTGTTTTTATTTTATGCAATTTGTGCGAGTATTTTAAATTTACACATATCTATAAATATTTGTTCACATTTTGTTTTCGTATTTAATAAGTAAATGCGTTTTACAAATTCATTTGTTCCCTCTTCTCTGCTCATTTCTTCTTGCTCTCTCACTCACTCTGACACACACACACACACATATATATATATATATGAAGAGACAACAGGCGCACACATACAATGGCAAATACGCGCGCGTGAACAAAAACAAAAAAAATTAATTTTAGCTTTTCCACAAGTTTTTCACTTTTGTTCCATTTTCATTGATTCGATGATTCTGCTTTTATCTCGCACACATATTTTGACCTTTTTCCTTTTGCCTTTGCACGCTTTTCGCTCACTGGTGCTGCTACAATTGCTTCTTCTTCATTTGCTTGCGCCTTGTTCTTTAGCTTTGCTTTTAGTTTAGTTTAATGTGGCCTATTCCTTTGCGCCCTGTTCCCGTGTCGTTTTTCACACACCATTAAAACGTCAAACTTGAAAATTTTCGGTTATTTTTGGGTATGGAAATTTGTGTTCTTTTTATTGCTCAGCGTGATTTGCTTTTGCGACGCGACCGACGGCAAAGATTAGCGGCTGCGCTGCTTTCCTGCTGCTGTCAATTTGCTTTGCTCCCCCGCGAGCATTCTTTTTTTTTTTGTTTTACCGCTGCCGCTGCTGCTGCTGCTGCTGCTGCCCTACACTCATACAAAGAGAGCCGTTTTCAATCTTACGTTTTTGTTGCTGTTCTTAATTTTCGACCACACGCTTTCACACTCACATTCGTTCGTGTGCGGCACACAGGGTTGCACACAGCGACAACAACAGTAACAGTGTTGCCAAACGTTCGCCGGCCGGTGTTGCGCAGCGCTCACTTTGCGGAAATTTAAATCAACAAATTTCAACACAGCACAATTAACATTTTTCATATTTGCGAATTTATGCAAAGAATTAAAAAAATAAAAATAAATAAATAAAATCTCTCATTAGATTGGCAACTATAGGAAATGGCAACACTGAAGTGTTTTTTTTGCCTGTTCTATTCTATGCTTCTACTACTTTTCGTTGCCTGTTCTCTTTTGGCTTACACTTATACGTCTTTGCGCACACAGTCACACACACACACGCACACACCCACACATACGGAGGCGAACAGAAATTTATAAAGGACAGCGCGCTTGGAGCTCAAGTTTTGGCCACAGTGTCGCTCTTTGACTTTTTGCGCTCCAAAAATATAGATATTTTGTAAGCCAAAAAAAAAAAAATGTTACTAAACTATAATAATAATTGCTCAAATTGGGTGCGTTTTTCTAAATTCTTTAAGAATTTTATTTAATAAAATGTTGATTTTGGCAATGTTTTTTTTTTTTTTTGGCCTGAGGCGCCACTATGCAGCGTCACAAGAGTCAGAGTCGCAGAAGCACCAAACGCGCAGCAGTGGGCGACAGACAGAAAGAGAGAGGGAGAAGAAGAGCGAGACGGAGATAGAGAGAGAGTAAGAGAGCGGAAAGTAAGTGGAGCGCAGAGCCGTTTAATTTGGACAGTTTTTGAATTACGGCGCCGCTGCTACTGCTTCTGCTGCTTGTTATTTCAGCTTAACACTCCAAGAGCAGCAGCAACAACAAAATCAACACACATCACCTTCGTTCGACCGAGTCATTTTTTAGAGGGTGGTCGAGGGTGCTGTTGCCTTTATTGCCAGGGGGTGGTGGTTGTTGTTGGTGCTGCTACTGCTATGTTTTTGCTGTTGTTGTTAAGTTACGTCTGGGGCGGGGGCATTGGGGGTTGAATTTTGTGGCAGCAGCCGTCGCTGAATTTTACTCACACACACAGAGTGCTTGCAAGGGCGCAAATTAACGCAATATAAAAACAAATGAGAAATCAAATCAAAAATTGCGGTGCTCCGTGTTTACATATAACGGCGTCTGCTTTAACTATGGATAACTGACCCCCCTACCCCCACCGCACTGTCTTTCGACAGGTCAAATCTCGCACATTCGTGTTATGTTTATATATTTCCCATCTTTTGCGCGTTTATTTTGGCACTGTGCAGGAGATTTTTGCTGCGTTTTCAATTGCTTTTGGCACCTACACAAACACAAAAACAAACTCAGTCTAAACTGAGACTTAGCGTTATTTTCTGTTAGTTGAGTTGATGTTGTTTTGGTTTACGTTGATTCTCTTACACTTGCACTTACACTTAACATCACATTTTTATCACTTATTTTGATTGGGTTCGGGGTTCTTAATCGTGTTTTGCAACAAATTGCTGCATTAGTTTTGTGTGTTACGCAGTTTAGGTTAACGTTGCGCGTCGTGAGTTTACGTTACTCGTTTTGGGCTAACATTGCGCATTTTGCGCTGCACGCGCGTGTTGCCCTTACGTTACCCACTAAACGACGCTTCGTTCAGTGAGCACAGCGACTCACTTAACGAACAATTGTTCGCACATTTAACGACCAAGCATTTTCAAATATATTTTTTTTTAACATGCAAAAGTTTCACACGGCTGGAAAAGCAAACATGTATCATAAATGTTTGATAAATGATGATTTTTTATTGGTCTTACGAGGAGCATTTAAAACAAATTGATTTTCGCCAGTTAAAAGTATATAGTTTATTGTATACGTATTGTATATATGTTTATATTTCTCTTTTATCAAAAAAAAAAACTTGCAATTTTCGCCTAAAACTACACAATAAACTTAACATTTAATTATCTCTGCCATCGATAAGAAACAGCTCCAAAATGAAAATGTTCCAGAAAAACGCTTTCAGGCTACGAATTATATATAATATTATAATCTTGCGATTTATTATTTATTTATGAAAGACTCAAAAGCAATATTTATATGTTTATTATGTCATTATGCGTTGCTATTGTTGTAATTGTTGGTCTGTTTTTTATGCTGGCAGTTGCAAGTTGCGATTAATTTCATAAATATAAAATTTTTAGAATTTTTTGGGCCGTAAATGTTGTTGTTGATTTCTTTTTAGGACTATATAAATACATGCTAAGTTTTAAATTAATTTTAAAAGTAAGAAAAAAAATAAAAAAATATTTTTTGCTTCGTTTTGTTGGTCAAATGAAAAACTGATAAAAATTTCAGTTTCAACAGTTTTTTTTTCTCTATTTTTTCTTTCTTTTTTTTTGTTTATGCCATGCGATTCGAAACTAGAATAGAGTTGTGATCATTGATTAAGAGTTTCTCAGTTTTCGAATTTATGGGGGCTTGGACAGGTGGAATTTGGGTTTGGGTTGAGGAATGAGCATTAGTAGAGTGCCTAATGCCATGTCTTTTTCAGTTTTCATTGTCTTTTTTCGTTCAGTGTGGTGGTTTTCAACTAATTTGTCATGATTTGTGCTAAATAGTAGTAATAATAATAATAATTATGAATATAATCCAGAGGGTCTCTCACTCTTCATCGCTCTCTTTCTCTTTCCCTCTCTCTCTCTCTCTCTCCCTCTCTCTCCCGTTCTCTCTCTCTCCCTTTCTCTCTCTCTCTCTCTCTCTCTGTGTCTGTGTCTCGTCGTTGATCACTTGGCGTGATCGTTCTTCGAGGGTTCCACCTGTTTGGCAAACTCGGTCATCACATCCTTGTAGATGACCGGATCGAGATTGCGTCCGAGCATATAGATGAGCCACCAGTCGCCAATGTCCAGGCGATTGGAGAGCTTACGACAGGTCTCAATGGATATCGTGCGATTGCGCGAATTCAGCAGACGCGGCCGGAATTTGGGCATGAAGATGATGCAAGCGCTGCAGGCAAATCACAAATATTAGTAATTATATAAAAATAATAATTAATATTTCTATTAACAGCTATCAATGTAAGCAGTAAGTAGTAAGCAGTCAGCTGTTAGCAATTATGCATTTGACTCAACTGCTTAACAAGCTGTGCAAGATTTGTATGCAAGCAGTGTACAGCATACGCACAGCGTTACTCAACACTGACACAGCGCACGTTGAACTGCTTGCCAAGCGAGACGAAATTTGAAACAATATTTGAAATGTAGCTAACCGGTATATCATCAGTCCGAGGAGCAGCACAAGCAATATCCAGTACCAGAACCAAATGAACACATACGTCTTCTCATTCACAATGTTGAGCGGCAATATGCAGAGGGAGTCGTGCGTCTGCAGTGAGCCGCCAGCACCGTATTTGTGGAAGATGCATTTGGTGACGCGCGGAAATACGTAGACCATCGGATCGACACGCTGCTCCTGCGGCACATCCGACAGTCCCATTATGTTCGTGCCATACGATAAGAACTCGCCATCGAAGAACCGATTCATCAGATACATCTGCACCACAATATTGACACAGCAGAGCACCTCGCACGCCCAATAGCGTATGGCATACAATTTATGGCGCTGAAATTATATGATTCAATTTGTATTCAATTATAGACACTTCGATAGATGCCAGTTAGTATTTTGTTTTCGGTTTACCTTCACATGCTTAATGAGATAGTCGAGCAGAGCATCTCGCTTCGCCTCCTTCTCCTCGAGTGTGCAGATCGTTATGTTCAGACCCATGACAATCATGCGCATCAAACCGCCCTCGAATTTGTTCCACAGAAACTTGGGCGTATAACAGGCCATGGCCTATAAAATAAAGAATGACAATCGAAAAGAATTCGATTACATCAAGTTCAAATTAATATAATAAGAATGCTAAAATAACCTCAGTTTATTGAAACTGCTTAGAAAAAAATTTCAAAATGGATTTCATAATTATCGTTTAAAACTTTCAATAAGCAAATCTAAAGCTAGTTCAGCAAACTAAATATATTCTATATAATTTAAATAGTTGCAATTTTGGCATATAAATCATTATTAAAATAATAATTGTTAATCATTTTCGACAATATTTTGCATATTTGTTATTATTTAACTATGTCAATTTCCAGTGGTTTATAAAAATAGTATTATTCAACTATTTTCAGGGAAAAACCTACTCATCAACAAACTAGAGAATGCTTTTACTCAGAGATTTACGCTTGGTAGACTAAGGGAGGTTTTACTGTACATTTCATTCCATACATGAATAATTTAAGATTAGCCAAGTCAATTTCAAAACTAAAAACACAACAAAAATTAGACGCACGACTCTTAAATCGAGTACTGGACACTCCAGGCAGGTTGCACTGTACTTGCACAGCTTACAAATAGCAAACTTGAATTTCGAAATTTAACTTGTAAATTTGGAGATTTTGAAGCATTTCAAGAATTTTGACATGCGTCAAATGCGTTTCATTGTTGTTTCTATTGTTGTTGTTGTTGTTGTTTGTGTCAGTTAGCAACTCATTAATCCATATGAATTCCACTATCTGTCAGGTATTTCGCAAGTTGTTGTTGTTTTTGCTTTTAGTGTTTAGCAACTGTCGCTTTGCTTGATTGTTTGCGTTGCGTTGCGCAACAGGCGCGCAATCAATGCTTGATTGAGCATGCTTGGCAATACAATGACCTCTCTCCCTCTCTCTCTCTCTCTATCTCTCTCTCTCTCACTCTCCCGAAAACAATCATCGCTGGCTGCTATTATCCGGCACGCCTCCCTCGCCCCCCATCCCCTGCTCACTCAGACTTTCGCACGCATTCAATTAAACTTGATTGAAGTACAGCTTTCGGTATGTGCTGGCAATTGATTCGACGAGCACGAAAACGAACACGAAAACGAAGACGAAAACGAAGGCAAACCCGAACACAATCGTAAGCAAATCAACGACATAAAGAGCGGGGGAGGGTGAGGGGGGGGGAGAGAGAAGAAGAAAGCTTTGACAGCTAGTTTACCGCTTACCTGAAAGAAGAGCACAAAGCAAACCCATTGATAGTAGGTGTAGTACTTTCTGGCATCCTTGTCATTAAAATCATTGGCAACGCCAGGATGTGCCACCTCGCGACCGACCTGTTCAAATTGAAGAAAATATTATTGGGGCTTTTATTCAATTTCATTTATACATAAAAATAGATAACTGCAATTTATGTGTTATATTATTGGAAAATAGAAGACTAACTTGAATATTGCTTGGATTGCATTCACAATCTATGTGACAAATATCTCAGCTTAACTTGGGACACTTGATCCTTGAGAACTCAACTCATTTTTTTGTTTGTTATGAGCTACAATGGCATACGAACAAAAAATACCCGTAGATCTTTTGTATAGAGCTTTTGTGCCTATCTCCTTCGAATGGTATTCAGGTTGAACGCAGGATGAGGGCAGTCTCTGCACAGGTATCCTCATTTCCTGCCTCTGCTGTTGAAATATGAGATTCGCTGTCTACATTCCCCGCAGGGTATTCAATTTTTGTGTCGCTGTTAATCGCTTTTCATGCTCCTTAACTCTGATTTTGTATTTTCGGGTCACACGCACAGCAACAACAACAAGAACAACAACAGCGACCGACTACGCCCCGTTTATAATTGCCTTATAGCCGCACAGTATAAATATGCGCATATTTATGAGAGTCGGCTTTGCTCGGGTCTACAGCATGTATTACATATCTCATCCGAGTGAGCCAACAATGGACGTGATCAGCCTACGTGAGCACAGTACATATGACAAGACAAGACGGACGGGCAGACAGACAGACAGACAGACAGACGGACGGACGGACAGACAGACGGGCAGGAGACAGTAGCTGTCCATGGGGAGACTTATAGTTGATCTGCTACGAAGATGCTGCATCGGTTGCAAGTCATTGATTTGTTGTTGTTGTTGTTGTGCTGCGTCTAAATGTTTGGAGACTTGTGTAGAGTTGCGACGCTGAGTACATTTAATTTCTAAACAAAAAAGGATTTTGGAGACTTGTGTAGACTTTGTAGAGTTGCTGTTACAGAAGTTTTTGCATTTATACGCAGTGGTTGGGAGACTTGTGCAGACTTTGTGGCGTCGCTTCGACTGATAACATGTGTAGACTTGCAGAGTTGTTTCTTTTGGAAAACTGTGTAGAGTTGTGCATTTCCCCGTGCATATTAATACTAAACACGAAGTTTGGTGCATTTGGAGACTTGTGGAGAGCTTAAAAAGTCTACAAATGAAATATATTCAAGCCATACACTGCATATAAGAAGTTGATCCATTTTGGAGACTTGTTTGAGAGTTGGTAATGGGCTGTGGAGACTTACCTGACGGTTGAACGCATCCGGCATGGTGAACGTACTGTGTATCCAGCAGAAGGTATTCACCACATGCGGCGGAATGCCGTTCACAATGCAGCTGATCGGCTGGCCCACGTACTGTGTGGCCGTGATGATCAGGCTGCAGGTGAGCAGCAGTACCGTTGTGAAGGAGTTGTGCAGACGGAAGACGGCATTGTCCGTCTGGATGTCCTGCCACTTTAGGTAGCTCTTTAGGCTACCCAATAGCTTATACATCTTGGCACAGTTGAAGCGGGATCTGGTACAGAACTAGTTGCAGGACACAAGGGACAAACCCCTATTGTGGCGTAGTGTTTTTAATTAATATTTGTTAACAGCAGTGGTCAACGTGTTGGCAGTGTTGTAAAATTCCGGATTTTGTTTGCTTTCTTCTTTATCTTTTTTAATTTACGGTTCGCATTCTTTTGACTTCGTCATTAATAACAAATGTTGTTCCTCTTGTTGCGATACATATCAATATCAATACTGCAAATAGATCGAAGAACACAGGGGGGGTTATAATAAGTTGATAAGTAATGCTATTGATATGGTAATATACGATTGCAGAACGGAGAGAAGTCAACACGATTTTCCAATTTACCAATATTGATCGATCTAACGGTACAAACAGAAGCTTAAATTAAAATCAATGTAAAATTTTAAGGTCACACAAACGGCAATCGGCGATCGGCAATCGGCAATCGGCAATCGCCAGAGCAATCTTAATGAGCAGTATCTGTGTGGAAATAGTTCTCCAGTATCTGCACATATAACGCCTCTGCTATTTGTGTATCAATTGAGATCGTCGGTACATTTGGTTGATTGGAAAACGTGTCCAGTGCCTGATTGAAGTCGACCGAAAAAAAAGCTGCGCACATTTTTTGCTTTTATTGTTTGTTTTTTTTTTGTTTTTTTTTTGTCAACTTTGTGTTGTTTGCCCGAGCGCTATCTGAAGACAAACACGAGACTCTAACGACTCTGACTTGGGCTACGTTAAATTACCGTGTACCGGAGGGTGGGTAACAGAGGGGTGTGGGGGGTGGTGGAGAATGTGGGGGTAGTATTTGCTTTTGTGTGTATGATTGAGCAAGAATATAAATCAACTAATAGAATCTGCAGACAGCTTCAATTTCAATTAAAGGCAAATGCGCTGCACTGAGCGAAATTGATGCGCCATCATTTAAATTTAAATATCCAATTGGCATTTGCTCCACTTGCAAATGCCATAGCTTCGTGCTCAATCCATACCATCTCCCCCCATCCCCCAGCGCAGTAGGTTGAATGCACTCGCTCGATGCCAGCGATCTTTATACATTTGACCCGGGGGGGACACCAATTAAGTACCTCCCCCCCTCCGCCCTATTCATATTACAATCAGTTGTTCAACACATTTTTGTTGTTGCTTTAACTTTTGGTGGCATCTGTTGATGTGGTAACAATTCCTACTTAGTCCCGTTTAGATCTGTTAGATTTGTCTTTCTAGTCTTGGAATTTCTCAGTAAATAAAAAGGTTCGTCTGTAAGGCAGATGAAGACTTATATTAATATATATTAGATTTATTCGGAAAGTTGCTAAAGCTATGTAAAAGCTCTAAGTGGATAATCCGATATCGAAAACCGTTTAAGGCTGTTGCCTACTTTTACTCCTCTTCAAGTCGCCCCATTTCTAAATCCTCCTCCCCTAGTCACTCTCTCTTTCTGTCGTGTTAAGCAGCCCACTGGCCTCCTATAGTGTTGTAGGCAGCACCTCAAGCACCACCCTACCCGCCAACTGTTGCACCCTCTAATCCAATGTTTTCCTGTTTATTCCACACGCTTCGCTGGCTACGATGAAGGCAACTAAACTGCAGCCGCAACAATTAGCGGCCGCAACAAACAGCAGGCGAACAATGACCGCCACACTGCCCCACACCTCCATCCATCCACCTCCCCTCGCCACACCCCTCCCACACACACACACACACGCTTTTTTCATTGCCAAGGCCATTTGCAAAGCGTTGTTGTTTTTGTTTTTCTTTTCTTTTTGAGCGTCAAAGCAAAAGTTACGTGCAAAAAAAAATACAAATTTCTATGCACAAATTGAGAAGTGTTTGGGGCAGCAACAGGAGGAGGGACGGGGGGAAGTGCTAAGTGTGGGGCAGGAGGGGAGGGAGATCATGGTAGTGCAGGTGTCGCATTGCAAAGGTCGACAATCAGTCAGAGCGCAAACAAATGTATTAAATGCCTTTTACGTGCCTGCTCAGATACCCTGCAAAGATGCAAATGCTCAAATGGGATATGCTTGACTAGCAGGCAAGTACTGCGTCAAAAGAAGAGAAAAGAAAACAATTAAAATAAAGAATATTGTGATAAAGATACTTGCAAAATGTTGCATACTTCAACGTAAATGTTTCATTTACAGGGCAGCAGGCAGTTGATCATGTTTGTTGTTGCGTGCTTTGCGTCGCTCTTTGTGAGTTTGCTTGTTGTTGTTGTTGTTGGCAATTAGAATTTGTACACAGCTTTATACGTTTAACCTTAACACGAATACAGTCAGACTTGAGTCAGTAAGATGAGCCCACAGATAAGCAAATAGACAGACAGACGGACGGACAGGCAAACACTTAGTGAGTTAGTCAGTCAGTCGGCTGTGACGTCACAAATGCATTTGCTTAATTGCATTGTCAAATGCAATTGTTTTATTAGCTTCGTTGGTAAGCAGCTGCTGCTGCTGCTGCTGACTAAGCGGAAGTTCTTCCTCTTGCCTCTCTCTAACATTCCCTTAACATAACTCCCTCTCTCCTCTCTCTCTCTCTCCCATACTCTCTGTCTGTCTGCGTCTCTTTTTGTTTGGCTACCTTCTACGACTCTGCGCTGCCAGCTGGCACCAACTTTAATTAGAAATAGCGAGGGTAGTTGTGAACGTTGCCAGTTATTAGCAGCTCATCCTAATGCATGTTGCGGACAATATTTCATTATTTATTTTATTTCATTGAATTTAACATTGACTATTCACACTTAACGGCTTAAGCAGTTGGAAGAACACAGTTTGTGTTGTAACTTTTCTTCATTTCAAAAATGGCAAATATGTCGCTCATAAAAATGTAAGTTTTTCTATAGGAACAATAATATTTAGTGTATATATTGTAAGGAGTCCTGCCTTGAACAGCCCTCTCTCTTTTGGTTCCTGGTCCGTAAAAACCGCACAAATGTGGTGTGCACATAATCAGAATAGGTACTAAGGGAGACAGACCGCTAAGAGAAACCGGGATACGAGTGAACAAAAAAAAAAAAAGAACAGAAAAAAGAAAGAAAAAAAAAGAAAACAATGCGTCGCTTCTGTACACTTTCAATTGACCATTTCCGTTGCTATCAGGGGGAGGGGGAGGAAAAGGGTGGGAGGAGCTGGTTAAGCCAGCAGCGGAATTCGGTATGCGGTACAAATGAGAAACATCTTGTAGACAGAGCAACTACAGATCATAGTAAAGATGCCGCCCATTGTCGACTTAGAGTGTCTGTGTGAGAGAGAGAGAGAGAGAGAGAGAGAGAGAGACGAAGACAGTGGGAAGATTATTAAACGTAGATCATGAGTTTTTAAAATGATGCATTGCAACATTGGCAGCATGACAAAATGGTTAATGAATAGTATATAAAAAGAAAACACATGATGGAAAACTTGGGAGTTTGAGACGGAAACCGTAGGAGAAGAAAATAACCAACAAAGAATCACTTGCAAGGGGTCTAAAAAGAAGTAGAGAAAAATACAGATGAAGATAAATATGAGAATAATTATGAGCAAAACTAAATGCCACAAAGGATACAGTTAAAGCAAAGCATTGACTATTGCCCGGCAAGCTGAGTGATTGAGTTGAATTGATGTCTCTATTAGCCGTGATTGAAATCTATTCACAGATTCTTGCTAAAAGTAAATACAAATAGTGCAATTGTCGAATGTTTTTATGAGAATACTTTGCGATTTTCGAGTTTCGGCTGTATTTGTCGTATGATAAATAGGTGAAATAAATTAAGTAAATAAAATCACGATTCGATTCGATTTTGATTGACGACATCAAATAAAAGCAAATCAAGTTGTGCTCACGATCTCTGCTGCACTTATTCCAATTGGCATTGGCACTGTTAAAAATAACAGCAGCTTTGGCAGCAAATTAGAAATGTTAAGCTGTGATTCCACTTGGTCCCACCGATAAGCTCGTCCTATCTTTTAATCTCTCTCTCTCTCTCTCGCTCTCTGGCTGACGCTGTGACACTCAATTAGAGTGTTTTACATGCTGTTAATTATGAAACAGAAATGTGACTTACGCGAAATACCGAAATCCCTTGCGTTGGTCTCTTCTCTCTCACACTCTCTCTCTCTCTTTGTTGTTGTTGGATGTTCGTGTCACAGTAGCAGCAGCAACAGCAGCTGAAGCTGAACTTTCATTGCTGCAAATCAGCTGCCAGGTGTGTGTTGTTGTCTCTGTTGTTGTTATTGTTGCTGTTCTGCTTATCGAATTTGCATAAGCAGCAGCGGCGCATACACACGCACACACATGCGTCACCACACAGACACAGGGTAACAGAACAGGTTCTGTTAAAAAGGGCTGCTGTGCGCGGTTTTGTTATTGTCTGCTTAATGCTTTGCTTTTATTGTAGAAGTTTGTTGTTCTTTTTATACTTTTATTTCATTAGTTTTTCATTTTTTATAAAAACAAAAGAACATAAATGTTACTGTTTTGTATCGTTGTCGTTTTGTTTTTCGGTTTTGTTGCTGTTGCGTGAAACGCGCGCGCGTCGACGTTGCAGTCGCTGCAGCCAAACACGCGCAACTAAAACCCAAAATCAAAAAAATACCAAATGCCGCGCAACTAAAACAAATAACACGCGTTCAATCTGTGTGTATCTCAATCTTCAACTGTCACCGCGAGCAGCACACATATAAAAAGATCAAAAAACATATATATATATATATTTTTTTTTTTTATAAATACATACATAAATATATGTTAAATCGGGCAAAAAAGAACGTAAAACAGAATTAAAAATACAATTTTTGTTTTTGAGCTCGCTTTGTGCGCTGTGCGCTCCGTCCGGAATGGCTTTTGTAGTGAGCAGAGCCCAGCGCACGCTGCTGTCGCCGTCGACTGCCTCCGCTTGGATTTCGTCGTTTCGTTTCGTTTCGTTTTCGTTGTTGCTGTAAAACTACACACACACACACGCTCGCGCGCTATGCTCGCTGTTGCGCTCAAAACTCAATGCTCAACTTTTTCAACAGCAATTCAACTCGGCTTCAAGCCGCTCTCTCTCTCTCTCGGTCTCTGGCTCTCGGTCTCATGTGTAGCACACTCACACATGTACAGCGTGCGTGCGCGTCTTTGCGCCTTTGCGTGTATATGTGTGTGCGTGTGTGTGTGCATGCGTTCTCCGACGCTGCAGATGATGTTCGAGTCGTTTTACAGAGGCGCGCGCGCTCTTTGAGTGTATTGCGTGCTCACGCTGCTGCTGCGCTTTTCGGCTCCAGCCAGCAATTGATGTATGTATGTATGTACACACACACAAACATACATAAATACATGTGTATGTATTTTTTTTATTTAAACGAATTAAGCTCTGTATTAAACTGATCGCACACCAAGTATACAAATTGGAGCAGCAATTGTAATACCACACACACACACACACACATTGAAATACATAAAATATTGAGCACAATTTGAGCGCAGTTCCAAACTCTGTCGAACCCGCGTATTTCATTAAAGTTTCGTTCTTTTACTTCAGCTTTGTCGTCTTGGGAATTTGTTGTTGTTGTTGTTGTTTTTTTTTTGACTACTTGACTTCTTTTCGTGCTTGACTGCGGTTTGAGGAGGGCGAGGGTTGCTGTTGGTAAGGCTACATCAAACCATACATACATACATGCATACATCCACACATACAAACGTACACTTTTAATATTTTTTTTATACATTTTGTTAATGTTTCGAATTTCATGATGTTTTCTTGTTGTTGCGTTGCTTTTTCTTCGCTTTCCTGTCTTCAACTTCAAGTCACGCCAATATGGTAACATTTTGAAAGGTAAGGTTTTTTTTTTATTGTTATTGTCCAAGCTTTTTTTGTTACCTTTATTTTTTGGGTTTGAAGAAGAAAAACTGGAAATTTAAATGGTGTTGAATTTAATTATTCGGCATTTTTTAATCGTTTTTAGAGCAACGCTAGGCAACTTGAAAATGCCCTTTAGATGATTGAAAGTCGAATCTTAACTGAGAATACGTCCACTTAAAAGCACCTATAATATATATAAATGTATAATTAATTCTAGCTTAATAAGATTTTGAATGGGAACGAGACAAGCACGTTCTAATATCTTAGACTCTTTTCTTGATCTGATTAAATTACTATTGATATTGATTTGCATACTCGTTTCTGTTTCGAGTACGTATAAATTGTAATTTATGATGTTTGCCAACACTGTAAGTTGAGCTGGTAGTGCAACAATATACAACAATATGTCAAGCATTGCCCGGCAATGTGATACGATACACGATTCGTGCTCGGATTGACACTATCTGTGGTCGACTGGGGGCAATGCGATGTGCCCTGCCTGGCATAACATGGACACGTACCAGGCTGGTGCTTCATTTAGCCAGCCAGTTCATCAGTCATTCAATATGTCTGCGATCGAATTACAGTTAGGTTAGGGTAGCCACAGTTGTGGGGCAGTTGAAGTACACGATTTAAACCGCATTTACGGCCCAAAACTGCGCGTGTGCAACGTAACGTAATTTATAAGGTTTTTATGTTGGTGTGTATGTATGTATGTATGTATGTATGTACATGTACCCTCCAAGGTCTCCAACCCTTTGCCCCACATGTGGTCATATCATGCGGCGCGCTCGTGGAATTCATTTTTTTTCTTCTATATATATGACTGCTACAGTGGCGCGTACGCTGGTAGGAGCAGGGAGGGCAGCTCCAGCCTCCTTCCGCCCCTTCATCTCAACTGTATATAGTAAAAAAAGAAGAAAAGAAGTTTACGATAGTCCCCCCTTTATGAACAGCTGTGTACGCCCCTGCTTTATACCCAGTAAATATGTATGAAATGGATGTAGTAAACGTGTGCATAAAAAGATAGCATTCTCAGATCTATTAAGATATACCGTTAGTCTTAAATTAGTCCCTATTGCATCTGACCAAAAATCTCTGTTTTACTTGATTGATGAAAATGTTTGAGTTTTGTTCTCCTATCGGACAACATTGAAATCTAATCAATTTTTAAATTTTAATTAGTTCTTTGGGATTATTAGATTTGGTATGTGAAGCTCACTTACTTAATAGATGAATTGGTAAATACAGCTATGTAATGGGTATCTAATGGTCTGCCACTTTTGTAATTAGTATCAACTATTCTCGGTTTCTTCTGCTTCTACTGCCTGATCGTGGTCTTTGTAACAAAACTGAAACACTTTCGAAAAGCTGAAATAATTCAAGTGCGTTGTCATTACGATCTTGAGCCTGACTTTTGTACCTGCCCACACACATACATATATATATATATATATATATACATATATATATATATCTGCCTTTCACTCTGGCTGCGTTTGTCTGTCTGTCTCACGTTCGGCTGTTAGCCGATAAACATTTCGATAGCTGGCTTTGTGGGTGCTTGGAACCGTACGTGACATTGATTTATGAGTGTGTGTGTGGTTGTGTGTGTGTGAGTGCGTGTCTTTTAGACAGCTTGCATTCTTTACGATTTGGGCCAGTTGTAAATATGTCAATATTGAGCCGGGAATGGGTTTTTATCACACAACAAACATGTATCGCATGCTTCCATCTCTAAGTTAAATTTCACTCAATGCTTTCTCACTCGGCGCTCTCTCTTTCGGTGTATCTCACTCGTTGTGGCATGCAGCTGCTACGCCATGTTCCTGTGTTGCAGCTTCCTTTTATGGCTGCTTCGTTGCTGCTTCAACGTGCAACGTACGTGGGCTGAGGGGCGTAGGCAATGCGACGCGACAACAGCTTCCTTTTTTTTTGTCTCTCTCTGTCTCTCTGTCCTCTGTCCGCTGTCTGTGTGGCTGTGTGTTTGTGGCAACCAAAGAGACGCGACGCGACGCGACGTGGCATGTGCCGAAATGTTCTCCTCTTTTTCAATCATGCACCAAATGTGTTGATCAAAATTCACATTTCAAATATGAACAACTACGTAAAGCATCTCTAATTTCAAAACAGTAACATATATAGATATATATATATATATAGATATATATATATGTACATGTATGTTTATCCCAACAGTTGGTTATATAAGTATGTGTACGTGTCTACATGTACTGCTAGCAGACACTGTACTCGACAATTGCCTTGCAGCATCTCTTCTAAAATTGAAGATCTCCTGTGAAGTTGGCTATCGTTTTTTTGGTCACGTAGGCAATTTTCTTGAACTCTAGACGAATTCGACTATAGATATGAGTACAGATATTATATGCTAAATATATCATGCTATACTATTTATTTATGCTTAGGTCTAACCACCACCAGATGTGACTCTAATTCTCGAATTGTTCACCGTTTTGACTTCAGGAGTTTCCACGACGAGATTTGAACTAAGGCTAATAATAACATTAATAATATGACTTGAAGAATATATAGTTTTAATACTCATTTCAGAATGTTCACATAGTGAATAAAAAATCATATTAGATAGTTCCATTGAACCCCCATCAACACCTTAAAACATTGATTTTATTTTGGAATTTTCAGAGTATTTAAATAATGTTACAATGTATAATGTATTCAAATAGTTCTATTCGTATTATCTGCTCTGTAAGAGATATCGCTCAAGTGCTGAAGGATTACTTGATAATCTCTACGTAGAACAAGCGTCAAGTACCTACTAACCCAAATGATCGCTGATCAACTGAGAACAAGCAATTTATAGAGTGGTAATTGAGATGATTATTTACTGAATACTTGAGATGAAATATGAGCTATGCTTCTATAGCATTGTAGAGGATCATTTCATCTTGTACATAATACATACATACATATCATTTATGTGGCTGCCATAAGAATAGTTGGACGAATGATAAGTTTTAGGCTATGGGATCGACAGACATGTCACCCTTTCTGCTACAATATATACAAATGTAAAAAATTCAACTTAAAAACATATAAATCAAGTTTTAATAATAATTATAATTTGAATTACGATCTAAAAATTCAGTTATCAGCAGATTAACTTCGGTCTAAAAGGGTATGCAATCTTCGGAGTTCTTTCTTGTTGAGGTTAGAAACGATTGTGAAAACCGCTTGAACTCAAATTGAGATATTTATGGCTTCTTGAAGATTTACAGGCCGAATTATGAATATATATACATATATAAATATCAATATATATATAATATAAATGGTTGCACGCATTTAATTACAACATTTATATTAAAGTTGTGCTTAAAACTTCTTTTTTTTTGGTTCCACTTTGGTGATTCTAATTTGCAAATATGAGAAAAATTTTTACTACATTTGAAATCGAATAATTGTAATGATCAATTTCATGGCTGACTGGAAAAAAGTGTTTAAAAACCGAATATAATTGAAAAAAAGAATACAAAAAAAAAAAAAAAATGGTTGCTGAACAACTGCAGACTCGCCTAGTTGCCCCAAAACGTTGCACATCTCGTAACACATGAAGCCAAGCCATTTTTTTAAGATTACGGTTTGATTAAGTTTGCTGGCGTCTCTTGAAGATTGAGAAATGGCTGCACCGCATACCGAATGCCACATACCACATACTACATGACTATAAGCCACATGAGGAACGGACTCGTAAGTCAGAGCCAAAGTCTGGAATGAAGCAACAGCCATAAAATGAAAACCTGATGTCTGATTGTGGCTCATTGTGGATCGTTTCAATTACAGGCACCGTGTGGGTATATATTTAAGGCTTGGCCCTGTTTGTTACCAGTTGCCAGTTGGCCAACTGGTTGGGTGGGGGTCGAGCCGGCATGTGGCATGTGGCGGGAGTTGGTGAGTGGGCATCGGCTATGGCTATGGCTATGGCTATGGCTATGGCTGCAAGATCGTTGACAATACTGATTTGATGGCTTTTGGTGGGTTCCGCCACAATCCGTTGCCAAGAAGCGACTACAAAAAACAACAGCAACAACAACAACAACGACACAAAGTGGCTTTCGCCTTGTTTGTATTGGTGTGCATGTATATATGAATATATGTATATATATGTGTGTGCTTGCTTTTGTCTCTGCAAAGTTGAATGGCCTCTTTTGGTTCTCTTTGGCTCAACATTGAACAAGAACACAATGACGACGCTCTGCAGCCAATTCTAATGGAATTCCAATAAGAGCTCAAATGGGCAGCCGAAAAGAATGTGTGTGTGTGTGTGTGTGTAGCAAATCACGTAAATACCTGTTGCCTTGTATGGTTTTTTTTTTATTTTTTGTTGCCACGCAACAAGTTTTAGTTTAAACGATAATCGATAAACGATAAGCGATAAATGCGCCTTAGGTGCGCCAGGGCGCCAGCAAAAGGACGTACCTTCTACAGCTGATTGCTAGGGCTAGACAGTAACAGACTCTAAGAGCAACAACAACAACAACAACAGCAATGACAACAGGTAAGAGCGCGCTAGCAAGTGAGCGTCTCAAACACACACACACACATACACACACAGTCAAAGAACGTAAGAAGCGCTCTCTCTGCCACACTAACAGAGTGGTAGTAGCTGCTCTCGCTTGGAAACGAACGGAAACGAAGTTAAACCAACGCTTCAGTACGAGCTTGGCATTTGCTGACTACGCCGACTTTCGTGTCTCTGCTATTGTGTGTGTGTGTGTGTGTGCACTTCTCTGTTTGTGTGTGAGTGTGTGTGTGTGTTTGCTGACTTGCTTGCATGCTTAGCGCGTCATCTGCTGCCCCGCCCACCCCCTCTCGCTACAAACAAGCCAGTCCAGTCGTCACATTGTGCAATCAAACATAAAAGGTAGAAGAAAAAAAGCAGCAAAAAGGTAAAAATGTCAACTTCGCTGCTGCCGCTGGCTGCGCTGCTGCTGTTGTGCTGCTGCTGCTGCTTACATCTCAGCTGGGCCATCGAGTGTTACGTGTGCGATGCGAGCGATACGCAGAATCCGTTCCAGTGCGGCGAATGGTTCGAGCGTTTCGATCAGCCGGACATCCAGCCGCAGAACTGTTCCAGTGTCCATGGGGCGACGTTCTGTGTGAAGCATGTTGGCCGCTTTGAGGGCGGCATCGGTGCGAAACGTTTCTGCAGCTCCAAGGATCTGGGCAACTATTGTGACTATGTGCGCAACAAGGGCGATCGCATGGACTATCGCAGTTGCATCTACACCTGCGACACCGATGGCTGCAATGGCACCAATCAACTGACCAACGGACGCTGGGGTGTGGCGTTGACGTCGCTGCTGCTTCTCATGCTGATGATCTGGCAACGCTGCTAGAAGAGAGTGTGCGCTTGCCAGACAGACAGAGAGCGAGAGAGAGAGAGAGAGTGTTGATGAAAACAAACATAGCTTTGTAAACAAAAGAGTAAACACAAAAAAAAAAAAAAAACAAACAAGTGCAGCACACAGCTGCCGCCTATGTTGTTGCCGTCGTCTTTGATAACTGATTTTCTTCATTTTTTTTTTTGTTTTATTGTACACCGCAAACAAAAATTACATATACTACATATGTAAATATATATATATAAATTCATTTTTTTTCGTTAGTTAAGTTTTGTAGTTATGTAAGCTGAATAAAAGTAAAGTTTCTCACACACATTTGTAAACAAACGGCGGCACTTTGTTGTCTGGTATGAAATGGAATGAAACGCACACATGGCAAATGGAACGCGGCTTGATGCGCTTCATGCTGCTTCATGTGCCTACGCGGGGAGGGGGAGGGGGAGGTGGGTGTTGGGCAATTTAATAGTTTTTGCGGCAATATTGGTTAATCGACAGCTCGACAGATCGATATCAATCGCGGTCACAACAACAAACTTAAGCAATAACTGCAACTTTGACACACATTTCAACGACTGTGCATACCCTGTGCAACTCAAGTGGTCTGTGTAGGGTATTTTAAGGCGGTTTATGACGTATAAAACAAGTCTAGTTGAGCTAGGAATGTTAAAGTACAATTTGCACTCAGATTGTCTCAACACAACTCAATTTATCTCACTTCACTTCAAACCTGTTGCCACTGAATAAATATCAAAAACTTTCAAATTTCAAAACAATTAATGATCAATGATGCTGATAAAAATACTTAAATCAAAATACAAAAAAAAAGCGTGAAATTTTTGTCATACATCTTATGTGATCTTTAGATCTCGTATAATTAACACCAAAGTATATTTTGCCGCAGACCTGGGCAAAAACAATTTCAGTATTCTCGACTTGAACATTCACAGCTATTTAGCTGTGCTACTTGAAAGTTGTTGTTGTTGTTTGTAGTCGCCTTGAATTGCCTTACGACTGACGGACGACCCTCAATCGAATGGATTGTAACCTGTACGCTTGATCGGCTCATCAATAAATATATTGATATTGACATTTCATTAAGCGAAAACCATTTAATCCGGCATTTCAATTTGGACCATTTCTTGATTAGGGTCGAGATGACAACCTGGCCTGGTTTACATGATTGCCTCTATATATATATGTATGTATGTATGTGTATCTGGGCTTTTGAGTTTGAAAAAGCCGCCCACGTTATGCCAGTTCCAATGCCCAATGCCCAGTTCCAGTTTCAATTCCATTTACAGTTGCGTAATTGTCTAAATTGAAAACGCCTTGAGGCGCTATCATTGTCATGCGGCGCTAATTTGAGTCTCTGCCTGGGCGGACAACGCCACCCAAAAAGATCTTAAACATAAATACACGCTTACGACACACACCACACACACACACACACACACACACACACACACACACCACACACCACACACACCCCCCCACACACACACACACACACACACACACACACACACACACACACACACACACACACACACACACACACACACACACACACACACATACACGCGCACATCGACACTCATCACAGGCATTCTATAAATGGATGAAATTTCAGGTTCTAATCGACGCCACGTTTGCTTGTTGCTTCTTATCAGACAGGCACTCTTGACTAATCTAAAACGTGTTCAACAATGGATGCTTCCAAGTGCTTCTCTGGTACAGAGTTCTTCAATTGACTTTTATGACATTGCCTCATCAGAGCGAACAGCAAACAGCGAATCGAAACATCATATCATGTTGTTCATCATGTTGGATGTGAGCGATGCCCTCTTAATGGATCGCAGCTGGAATGTCTAATTATGATTCAAGTGGTATCCGAAAAATATATTTAGATATAAAGCTAAGCATCTGAAATTCGACGAAACAACTAGGAAATGAGAAATACATACGTGAAAGCAACAAAATATTTGATTTTCTTCTCGGTTTCAGCTTATTAGAATCAAATATTATATGAATATCATTTGAATTTAAGTTGTTGGAATGTAAAACAGGCAGAGGGAGTTCAATTTCCAGCACTAGTTCGACCAAATGGAGCTCGAAGCTAATCAATTTGAGCAACGGACAAACGATCTTTAATCTCACATTTACATCTCAAACCCAGAAGCGGGTTCGCAGTTTCGCAACAAATGTGCGGCGTACAACAATTTGTCGCACGAAGTCAGGCCCAAGTTACGCTGATAAGCTGATAATCTGTAATTGACCAAAGCACGGATTGGTTATGTAAAATAATGTGTATACCCTGTAATGTGTTATGCCCACACAAAAGGTGTATACAAACTGGAGGCAAACGAAATGAGAGGCATTGAAAATTTGCGAATTACAAAGGTGTGAAATGAAAACTAAATAAAAAACGATATCAATTAGAAGCTGTTTGGCAACAAATTCTTTATAACAATTAGCTAAATTAGCATTTAACAATTATTTAGGACTACAAATTAAGCTGGCATTTATAATAGCAGCTTCATAGTGAAGACCCTAAAGAAAAAACCAAAATTAAATAAAGTTTTTAGTTTATTGTATTTGTCAAATTTAATATCTATAAATAGCCTGTAAAATAAACGAAATTTGAGGGAATTAATTTATATATATACATACATAAATATCTTGTCTTTACTTACTTGGTATGTAATAGTCGAACATGCCTGACATGTGACATGTTTATTCTAGCACATTTGATGAAAAAGTCTAAGGCTAAAGAGGTCAATAACATTTGCTGATACGTCCAGACACAGCACGAGAGGAGACGAGCGGAGAGGGGCGACAAATGGAAATAGGAGTCGCGAGCATTTGAGGGATGCAAGTTTTCGAGCTGGAAATGGGGAAGGAACAACACAACAGCAGCAGCAGCAGCAGCAGCAGCAGCTGCTCAAGGTCATTGCCAAGTGGCAGCAAATGCAATGCAACATGCACAAATAACTCAAAAGGATACGGAGCGCGAGAGAGGGACAGATAGAGAATGAGAGAGAGAGAGAGAGAGAGAGAGAGAGAGAGAGAGAGTGTATAAATAGAAATGCAGACAAGACAGACAAGTCATAAAAACGGCCATAACAAACATTGCGAGACACATTACAAAAATCTAGAGAAAACCGACGAGAGAAACAACAACAAACACCAACACAGTAAATTTCCGGGCAATAAATGCGACGACATTAGAACGTGCCACATGTTAAACTCACACACACGCACACACACACACAGGCACACACACACAGACACACACATGTGTGTGAAACACAAACAACCCTCGAATTTCTACTTCGCCGTACTTCTCCCGTCGCAAGCTGAATCGCTACGATTTTTGGCCAAATACGTAAATTCCCGAATGCATTTCGCTTCCTGGAAATCGCTACGAAGTTTTTATAAGGGTCGCTTCTGGTTTTTTTCGTCTCCTTTTTTTTTTTTTTTGGCTCTGTTACGCTTTTGCTTCCTATTCCTATTTCCCTATTGTTGCCATTGCCTTTGCCTTTGCCTTTGCCTTTCCTTTTCCTTTTCCGTATTGCGGGTGCGAATTGCGTCGTGCGCTTTGTTCAGCTGCTTCGGGCTGCTGCGACGTCATTTTAACAGGGTTGCAACCCCCATTCTGCTTGATCCTGAGTCACACACACACACACACACACACACAAAGAGAGAAAGAGAGCGAGTGAGAGAGGGAGAGAGAGGGAGAGGGAGAGAGTGCGAGCACAGTTTGAGTGAATTCTCTCGAGCTGAACTGACCTAGGCGCTGTACGCAATTTGTGGATGGTATTTCGTCATTGTCCTGGCCAGGAATCGCATTTTTATGCCCGAAACAAAGACACAAAGGCAACGCGGATGTATCCCGCTCATAACCCATACAAATGTCTGGCTGAATGCGAGTTGAAGCCAAAACAAAGAATTATGTTTATGGCAATCTAAAAAATTCATTTGCTTTGTTGGCGATAAATTCAGCTTTGAACTTGTGACAAGAAGTTGGAGTTTTAAGGTAGAACCAAGCCTGTGAGTAAGCATAAGACTCAGACATAAATGTTGAAAGTTCAGTTGGAATATTTGCCACGGAATTGGGTTTAGTTTAAGTGCCAATATATTATTTAGATTTTTCCAGCATAAACTAGAATATTGTTACAGATTCTATTTGCAATGTTTGCTCGAGTGGCTCAACGCGTAGCACGTGGCTAAATTGGGGCCAAGCATTGCTAATAAATTGCCATAAATGTTGCATGAGATGCAAATTAGGTGCACAGATGCCACGATTCGAAGCAGACAAAAAAAACGAACAACAAATGGCAGGAACGTGTTCCGCGATAAAAAAAAAGAAGGAAAACGAAAAACATTTGATAATCCACACAAATTAAATGCAATTGAAATAAATTTTTGCATGCCAAGAAATTGGCAAAGTTGTGCTTCATCTTCTTGTGGCGGGGCATGCAACAAGTGTGCCAATTGCATAAATTTATTGGCAACGAATTCCGCGACAAGTCACAGGTCGCTGCAGCAGGGCCACAGCAGGTCCGAGAACAGTCCCCAACCCCACTCATCCCCATATCCACCCCATCCCCGTCCCCATCCCCATCCCGATCTCCAACCCCAGTCGCTAATTGTCGCCTGGAGCTCGTTTCGCTCGACTGCCACAGTTCAAAGTGTTAATTGCCGCATAAATTTTGATAATTGAGGCAAATTGTTGCCTCACAACCGCTTCCCCCAAGGATTGCAATGAGCCCATCTCGAATAATTGTAAGCGTTTTGGTTTCCTACAACACAAATCACAAATCACGTCTAAAATTGATGCAAATCCTATCAAAAATTGGCACATTTCATGCTCATGCAAGACTTGCAAGTTCACCTGACTTTGTCATTTAAGATCCATGTTTTATTTACGGATTATATATGGGAAATCATGACAAGCATAACTATGACAAAACTGCAGCGATTTTGAAGCTCAGCCAATGCTTAAAGAACTAAGCACTTATTGGTCCCAACGAGTTGTGTAAGGAATGCCAAAGTGTTGTCTTTCACTGTCTTGTTACCATTTTGTAAACGTTTATTTTATTTTGTTATTTATTTAATTTTTTTGTTGTTTTTTTTTTTGTTTTTTTTTTTTTTGGTTTTTCAGCCATCTTTGGATGTGGTGCCGGTTATGGGACTAAGGCCAAAAAGACAGCTCAATAGGGGCCCAAAGAAACCTGTCACACCAGAAATAGCTTGTTCTTTGGCGACGATCTCGAAAATGTTAACGGTCATTCACCATGTGGAATACAGAGACAGAGAGAGAGAGAGAGAGAAAGATGGAGACTGGAGCAGAGAGAGAGAGAGAGAGGGGAGGCATCGAAGACAATGCGAAAAGAAAACAATGCCAGCTCCACACAATTATTTATTGTGTGTGTGTTTCTTTATCTCTTTTTTTTTTTTTTGGGATTTCATTTTTAAAAAAAGCCGTTTTCGACATGCTTTGTCAGAACTCTAAAAAGAAACAAATTCAAAAGCGGAGTTTACGAATCGAATTCGTATAAATAAAGAATCACTTGATATGCGAGAAACGAGAACAACACGAGTCTGAGTATCTTATGTAGTTCGCCTATATGACAAATTTAGTCGATTTCAATGCCCCCCAACAATCCAATAATAACCTCTGATCAGTTCGCTATTTTTTTTATATTTTTTTTTGTTTTTCACATTTAGCATTGATTTCATTTCGAAAGTTTGACAATATGGAAATCATATATTTAAATAGCTCAACGCGAGGGCATTATAATTTGCATTAATTCTTACGTTGAATTGATTTTATGTTTCTCAATTTAAAAATGTATTATTGATCAAGAGGCATAAATCGGTTCAGTTGTGACAAGTTAAGTGCAGCTACTATTTTTAAGCTACAAATCGTTGAATACACTTTAAATATATACAATTTCGCTGTATCTCGAATAGTTTTTCTAGGGTATTCAAGCTGATGTGTTCAAAAGCTAGTTGTATCTTTAGCTTTTTATTTCGTTCCATTAGCTCAACTACTTGGAGCGACAGCAAACACATGTCGAGTGTCAGCCACATGAGGGGGGGGACGTTGCAGGTGATCAAGCAGGTGGGGGAGGGGGGTGGGGGGTGGCAAGTTTGTTACTGCCTGAGGCCTTAAGTCAGGCTTCAGTTCAGACTCAACGCAAGTCAGTTCAACTCGTTGGCATTGACCGCAAAAGCAGTCGTAAGTTGGCAAAAAATAAAAAATATAAAAAATAAGAATAATTATATTGAAAAGAATTAGAAACGCAAAGATTTTGAATGTGTCTCTGCCAATAAAATATCAACTAAATGCGGCTAACTCAAGTGCTCGTCAGATCGAGACGTGCTCGACGATGGCAAATATGGCCTGCTAAGCAGGTGTCATAACCAACTGGCAATTACACGTCTACTTATATGGGCTAACCGAATATTTGATGGCTTCAAATTTTGGGCATTTCAAGTGTCACATATCAAGTGTCAAGTGGCACGTTTCGCAACAGGTTATAGGCCAAAAGCTACAAATTGCCATCCAGTCCATAAAAGCACATTATTTAAGCTATTTGCGAAATCATAAATTAGGATCTCGTCACTGGAGTTCATGTGACACAAGTTGCCATACAATTTTATGTTGTTTTTGGAAATTAATTCGGTTTGCAAATTGGTTCGGCATAGCACGTATGATATCGGTATCGGCATATCATACACTAAGAAAAAAAATCCCTAAAATGAAAATAAACCTTTATAAAAATAAGAAAACAATGTCTTAATTTTAATTTGTAGTTTATCCATTTTTCTATTGCTTTGAAATATATTTCCCAATAATGGAAAGTATTGCTTGAAAGTATAAATATAAAATAAAATTATCTCAATTTATGAAGTAGGTAAAACGTTTGTATATGTGAAATCTTTCAATATTATTGTGACATAAGTCATAAGTACCAAAATCCTTGGGAGTGAGAAACAACCTTCCATTTTCGAATAATAAGTTAAGTTACTTTTGGCGCCAAAAATATGGCGATTTTCTAAGAAAATATTGAATATGATTTTACCAAGGCCTTTGCTTTCAGTAATTGATTGTAATATCTGTTTGGGTTAGCTATATATTACTTGTGGTATTTGAAATATCTCTCGACATGTCTCCTTTTAGGCTTGTTCGTTTCGGCAATTTTGATGCTATTACATTATATGGATTATAAGAAAACTTATTGAGAATGTCCTGCTTAACTTGTAGAGTGCCCTCAATTCTATCTCATCTCATAGAAGCGAAACAAATCGTATAAAAATGAATGGTTTTTAAGCCGCTGTGCAATTTGACGACCCACTTGTGAACATGAGATATGACCCAAAGTCAGATTTTTGATCTGTGAATGAAAACCGCAGCTGTTGGACACATTTGCCACATTTGCCACGCCTGTTGCGTCGCGTGTCAATTGAAAGTGGGTCAAACCACAGTCCAGGTATGTATGTAGTTAACCGAAGCCAGTGTCAAATCCAAAGTCAAGATAAAGTCAAACCAAATGCTCGACTTGCCGCTTGCCGCTTGCCGCTTGACGCTTGACGCCCGACACCAAACAAAAAAGTGGGAGGGGGTCTAACTGTTTCAATTGCCACGCCCTAGCAGATCTACATATTTGGCTGGTGGTAGGTGGTCTGTCTTAGCCGGTTTGGACGCTTTATTTCCATTTCAAAACTGGCCCCAGAGCAAGTTTCTTTTCTTCTTTTTTTATATTTTCTTTTGGCTAATTTGAATATTGAATTTGATATTAAAACCCGTTCCAAACCAAGGCCAGAAAGTAGAAGAAAAGAGAACTTAGCAATAAATATATTTAAACAAAACAAAAAGTTACTAAAAAAACAAAACAAACACAACAACATTTAATGACTAAAATTAATTATTAAACAAGCTACATAAATAAACGCCGTCAAACAAGCTGCGTGGCTGAATCTTTCGATGATTCTGGTGCTGTGGGTGCCACAGTGGCACCTGCTGCCGCTCGATGATGCAAAAGGGGTGCATCCACCGTGTCCAGTCGATCAAGCTGTGGATACTTGCCCGGACTGGCCGTAACTGCTGAGCGTGCTCGATAGTCATTGATATCGTTATCGTGTATCGCATCGTTGGGAAACTCGCTGGCCAGATGGTAAATGACCTTCTGGAACAGGAACTCCGATAGGTTGGTGCGCAGGAAGAACAGGAATACCCAATTGGAGAAGTTACACTTCTCAATAACAGACTTCACATCCGATTCATCCAGTTTGCCAGGCTTGGCCCAGTACAGCGCCCATTTCGTAAAGGTTACCCTACGAAACAGAGAGTTCAACATAAATAAATATGTATATAAAAATGTATTGTTCCAAAACTAAGTAAGTTAAAGTAGGTGATCTATTGGAAACCCAAAAGTTCAGTGTGAGAGAGGAAGGAGTATGTATATAACTATATAGATCTGCATGAAAGGACTTAAGATTCATATCCTCATAAGTCTTGAGAAATTATCGAAAATTCTTTAGTAAATTGGAGACTTTTGAGGCCCAGTTATTTAGACGTAAGCTTCTTAAATGGGACGAAAAGAGTTCAAGTTTAAGTAAGTAAATAGATTGCCTGTGTTTTGGATAGGATAACTTTGTATTGCAACAGTTTAAGGGAGTTTAAATCGGTGGCCAACTTACTTTTTGTAGAAGAAGAGCGTAAGCAGGCGCCAGAGAAGACCCAATATGGTCATGATCATCAGAAAGCTATACCAGAACCAGAGTATGGTGAAAATCTTCTCATTCATAATATTCAGAGCCATCACACAGAGTGTGTCGTGGTTCTGCAGCGAACCGGCTGCACCATATTTGTAGAAGGTGCACTTGGTAACCTTGGGAAAGACGACATCGAGTGCATCCATTTGATCGACCCAACGCTCCCGCAGTACTTTAATGCCCAACGTGAGAAACTGGTGGCCCAGAAAGCGATTCGTCCAATAGATCTGAATGCATAGATTGATCAAATTGAGCACCTCGGCAAAGACAAGATGTGCGCCCCACGACTGATTCAAGCGCATCCGATCAATCATTGTCCTCCGAATGTTAATCACACGCTCCTCCGTCTCTGCCATGGATGGTATATTCAGTTTGCCAATTCTCATGCTGTCATGCTTCAGATATTTGGTCAGGCCCACCATGCGCAGACCATAGACCAGTGCCTTAATGCGTCCACCCTCCCACTTCTTCCAGGCAATGTGCGGCAGATAGAAGCACAGCGACTGACCGAACAGGACGAAGGGCACCCACTGGTAGTAGGCGTGTCGTTTGATCTCATCCTCGTTGCGATTGTAGGGTCCAATGCCCGGTTGAAAAATGGCGCCATTCCTTAGCGCCGAGTTGTTCATGTGACGCACCTGTACAGTAAAGCAAAAACAGTTCACATTGATAAATCAGAGTTTTAAGCGGGAAATGACAAATATTTCTACATTGTTTTTGCTTTTAATTTATCTTTTTTTTTTTGTTGAGAACTGCTTTTACTTTGCAGTCTTGTACAAATAGATATCTCAGACACAACTGTTCTGAATCCAATTTGGCTTCGTTTATTAACCATAACAAATTTAGAGAGTTTTTAGCCAACGGTCCTGCGATCTAATAATCTCCAGAATTTACGATCCAACTTACCACTGTAAACGTGGGCGTAAAGAAGCAGAAGGTGTTTATCACTGGGGCGACCACACTATCGGATATGCACTGTATGTGTTCGCCAATGTATTGACGGGATGTGATCAGCAGGGTTGCCACCAGCAGCAGCACAAAAGTCCATCGATAGTGCAGCTTGAACACAATATTATCGATAATCACACGCGATAAGTCAAACTTGAGATATTGCCTAACCGAACTGAACGTGTTCAACATAATGCCAACTTTCTAGCCAAAAGCTAGAAACTGCCAATGCTTGCTTTTGATTTTTTGAATTTGCTTGCGAGCTGCTTTTTATCGTTACTGATTTCTTGGCAACGAACTGAACAAAATTGAACGAGGAATCAACTTATCAACCTGCCATGATCCCAGAGCGAGCCACGCCGGAGCACCAAATGTGGCCCGATAAGATAATACTATTATTATATCAACAAAGATTTAATTGAGTTTAACGTATTACATTTCATTTTTCACTGTTTTCTTTTTCATATGTGCATACCCTGTAAACATAGAATGAACAAGACCTAAAAGTTCACTGGGACTGGGACATTTCAAATATATCCATAATTTCACTCCCAATCGAAATAGTTTGAATTAAAAGTATTCATTTCGTTGTGTATTTGACCTACTCAAAGGGTAACTTCTAATCGTGTATGCTTCACGCCAGAAACCACAAGCTATTGTTGTTCAGTGTACAAACAGAGAAAGATAGAGAGAGAGAGAGAGAGAGAGAGAGAGAGAGCTAAGTAACTTTTGAGGGAAAATGGCCACTCAAGCTGTGTGCTCAATAGATAAGCTTTTAGCTTCTTAGTACAAAGTAGAGCATCCCGATAGGAGAGAGTGGGCGAGTCTTAAGATAGGTAAGTACCACAACAGTTGAGCAGGATTGGCTAATTGCGATCACTCCCTATACATCTCTGAACATGTCAAAATCAATAGCTGACAACTTGGAGATTGTTAAGACTATTGACCCAGATCAGGGCGAGCAAGAAAAGGCAGATCGTTACAACTTTATGAGGAATAAAGTAGTGTTTTGGAAATGCTGGATTTAATTGAACTTGTCAGGCCCTTAGCACAGAATTAAGGATTAGCTATTTTTAACAAAGAAAACATCTTTCAATGTGGTTTGGAGAAAGAGCTAAAATATAAAGTTTTACATAGCTGAAGAGAAAGGGAAAGAGAGGGAGAGAGAGAGACGGAAAGAGAGAGAGTAGTTAGTTAGTTTTGGTAGTTATTTTAAGTATTTGCGGAATTTTGTGGCTTCGTCGAGCATCGATAAAACGAATATCGAACTGATAAAGAGTCTAAAGTAAAGACTTAAATTTACCCCAATTTTTATGGGGGTAGACATAAATGAGGGTTATGAGCTTATACCCAGAAATAGGAAATTTATTTAAACTGAATTCGCTGAAAGCCAAACAAGTATCTATAAATGAACGAGCTTAATCTCAATCATACGAGACAGTTGTAGCTTGATTGAAGAGCAACAGCCAGATTAGAAGAATTCTGACTGCATTGGAATCAGTTGTGCAATTGACCTACTTGATGAGTGCCATATCACTTATCACGGTTTTAGTTTGGATAACTGTGACACACATTGATATAGACACAGAGTGTTGGGTGCTTTCCTTTGGGTTGATGATTGAGCTATTTGGACAGTGACAACTGTTTTGTTGTCTAGTCTTCGGATCACGGTTGGCGATTATTAGCTTCTGCTTCTGCTTCTGCTTCTGCTTCTGCTTTTTTTTTTGTGTTTGCGTCATGACTGATTCATGTTCATCGGTACTAGGAACCTGGTGTGGTATCTGGTATTTAGCGGAACCAATTAGCACAGTGCAGGTAACAATATCTAAATTCTTAGACAATACATGAGGCATGTGGCTCTACGCCGGAATCTAATCACGGAGATAGCTTGTTCAGTAAGCGACATTTACAACGCGAATGCGTCAATGCCAAACGGGAGAGTCCAAGTAATCGTGAGGAGCCAAAATTTGGGCAGATAACAGAATTAACAAAATACAGAGAACTTATCTTTTAGAGACAATCTCTGTTTGTCATTTCAAGTGTGTCGTCTTAATTTACTATATGGGTTTTATATTTTTGAATCCCAGGAAATGACTGTGTTGATTCAGATACAGGAATGGAATCCCCTCGTTTTTTTTGTTGGTATCTATTTATATTTTACTGCATCGTTATAATTAGTAGACTTTTGGCTGTATCTGCATCTCAAACTGTGTATGCAGATAATAAAGAATCAATAAATCAGATTGTGTCACATTTCTTAATTTATTGTGCCACAGCTATCTGTATTTGAATCGGAGATTATAGATACAACATCTGAATCTGCACCAATCTACCCATTTACAATTACAGCTCTAAATTCTGTCTAAAACTTACGTTTATTCCTTATCTCTGACTGTTTGCATGTTTATCTATTCTAAATTCTGTTTCCTTATCGCACTTTGAATTCATTTTCTTTATAGTATATTCAATTTATTCATCAACATGTGTGAGATTCAGAACTTTAGCTTTATATGTGACCAAATTTGTTTACAATTTGTATCTTTTGGATATAACTTAACTATAACTGAGTCACTTTCTACACAGTGTGATCATCATCTGAATACTTCTACCTTAATTTATTCTCTCGATGTGTTTGGCCATATTTTAATCTAACCCCGTATCTGAGTTTTACTTATCTGAGTTATTTAGGTGCGTATTATAAGCTTAGTGGCATAACAACGTAAAAGAATAACGTAAAGATTGGCCTTTGACGGATAAGATTGGCCATTTCCAGCTGTTTTAGTAGGTGGACTGGTGGCCCCCGAAGTTCCCTGGCCAGATAAGAACCGCTTCTGGCGCACAATGGTGGCACCAAGTCGAAAAAGTTCTCAAAGATCTACATTTTGACGGAAAAACAAGGATGTCGCAAATTGATTGAATGCATCTAATACAGAATTATTTATATTATTATTTGGATATTCAAAGATTGTTAAATGTAGATCATTAGTTTGTGTGGTAAATTGAGCTACCGATAAAATGGAAGGAATTGGAATCTAATAATTAAAGTCCTGAAATTAAGCCTTAGTTAAGCCTCTTAAACTCTAATATTGATTATGATTTTCAAGCCTTTTATTCAACATGTTAAAAACATAATTTTTGTGTTTTTAAATTGAATTCATCTTATAGTTTTAAGTTCTTAAAATTGAGTTGAAAATTTGATTTAAGAAAAGAATGTCAAAAATATGGCGAATTTCTCGAATTCAGGGCAATTTTTTTCTGAGTGTGGAAAGCATAAAATCGATGCCTAAAACACCCTATAGCCCCTGACAACTGTAAAGATATCTTCATTAGTTTACGAGAAATGATTGTGGAGAACAAAAAGTTCAAATGCGTCACTGTGCAACGCTTGCTATTTTTCCTCTTCTTTCTGTTTTTAATTAGTGTTTTTAAAATTTATTATTGCTTATTTCAACAATTCCGGTTTAGTAACCGTCAGGTGTGACAAAGTTCATTGATTGATGGGAGTGAACTGCGATGATTGCGACAACGTCCAATTACCACCGTAAGCCATAGTAAGCAGTGGACTCTGCCACTCTGTGTAGTCTCTGTGTGCAACGCTGTTGTTGCTGCATCTGTTTCACTGTTGAATTAAATTACAGGCGAAATTTGAATACTGCCAAGCACAAAAGAAATCGAAATGCAAACCATTCATGCAAGGCATGCACAAAATTTCGAAACAACAAAAAAACAAAAAATATATGCAAGAAAAAAAAAATAAAAACAAAAAATAATAATAATAATAAAAAATGTTAAAAACGCGTCGCACTTCATTTAAAGATACAGTTACAATAAGCTTAACGAGCGCCAGCAAAATTAACAATAAACAATTTTTGAAAAAAAAAAAACGTATTCCCAATTGTTGCACAAGTTGCAACAAGATCTGCTTAAAAAGTGAAAGCATTTTCGAAACTCATTGAAATAATTGCACAATGATCCATAAAATAGCAAATAGCAATTGGCTAGAACAATTAGAACATATCTATATATAAATGTCATACAACAATCACATAAGATCTAAATTCCTTGCTCAATATGATTCAGTTGATAGTGATAATATTATCAAAAGTCGCTGGTAAACTTTTCTTTGAAAATGAATGTGTTTCTTTTCTTTTTAAAAAACTTAGTAATTGATATTTTTACGGTATGATTATATTTAATAAATGTTGATTATCTTGCCAAGAAATCTATAAAAACCAAAGAAAAATGTTTATCATACCGAAACTCGATGGCGAATAGAACTACATTTATTTGTATGCATACCTCATATAATCAATCTACAAAGCACCAAAATTAATCAAATTTAGGAATCGAAATGTTGTTTAAAGTTTAATAATATATAATCACATTCTATTAATATTCATTACTCATACAAACCATTTGCATACGTAACTGTTGTGAAGTCATCAAAAGTAATCAATTCTATTAACCCATATACGATATGATATGTACAAACGTGTTGGAGAAGGGAGGGTCTTTGTTAACCGTTATGCATGATAACATCGCTTTTTGTGCCTTTGAAGTGCGCATATTGCAATGGGTATTAAAAAAAAAGATGCGCTAGACAAAAAATAATTGATTAGATTGGGCATACTTATATACCTACATGTGTCTTATAAATAGTTAATTGCCAGCTGCGAAAACTAAACGAATGATTAGGCAATGACTCAAATAGATCACAAAAGAAATTAGTTGCAATAAAAAAACTCCAAATAAAACAAAAGAGCGAATTCAACGCTGAAAGACTTTAAGACCTGGCAAACTGTGACGCGGTAAATGATCCGCAATGACTAAGCGATCAAAATTCGTGGAGCATCGCATTTTGAGTTCGCTGGCCACGCCTCTACAGCCCCGCCACTTCCCTTCTTCATGCCACACACATGAATCACACTGAAATGAAAATGTGCCCAAAAAATACCATCTGTACGTGATGCAAGTGTCAAAAACTTAATGCTGTTGTTAAGTGAGCTCGACAACGGGATTCCCCGAAGCCATCTTTTCAAGAAATTACATTATATTCTCGAATCTCTATTCTCTGGCTCTTATGGTTTCTGAGATCCTTTTGTTCATACGGGCGAACTTGGCTAGATTGATTCGGCTGTTGATTCTGACCAAAACCAGAATACCCTTTTTGCCCATTTCTTATCGCCAGTTTTGCTCGATTTGTTTAAGCGCAAAATCTTTGTGGGATGGTGCGAAATTCGATCAGCGTCAATAGACAAATCAAATAATCAAACAACAATTCCCACAAAATTGAGACGTTTGAGGCGTCGATTTGATTTATGCCAAAATATACGAGTGCCCTCCCACCGCCTTCACACGTCGTATAAGCGATATGATCAATTATGTCAGTGAGTCTGTCTGTCTGTCTGTCTGTCTGTCTGTCTGTCCGGCCATTTGTGGCCAGCGGTCGACAGCCTCGCGTAAAAGTGCTATAAATTTTGGCAATGTTTCTAATAGATTTATGGCCGTACGACTTGTAGTAGGCGTATCACATTAGAGATATCTATGTTAAATGTTGGACGTTGTAATGGGCTAACCAATATTAATTGGTAACAAATCGATACACTCATAATCACTTCAAATTTGATATATATTTGCAGCATGATTAGCATCGATATTAATATCTGAATTGCTTGCTGTTTGGACCTTGAACGAGTTTTAAAATCTATTGTAGATTTTGTGTACTGTGAATAATATTGATCGAATTTAATCATTATAATTGAACTTTTTCTCGAATTTCGCTGTATATATGTACATATATATTATTTTGATTCATATTTATGATCCCATGTCTCAACATTTCAAAACAAAAAGAAACGTGATAAGCTTCTAAGCTATATTGTTTTTACCCTCGGGATTTGACTTGAGTGAAGTGAATGTCAAGAAGGAACTCTTGAGAATTATATACGTGCAAAATATTGGGTAATATATATATAGCACTTTGGAGCGAACAATCGCTTTGATAAGGATCTGAGAGAGATACAGATAGACAGAGAGAGAGAGAGAGAGAGAGAAAGAGAGAGAGAGAGGGGAGGTGGGAGGGAGATACAGAGAGAGAGAGAGAGAGAGAGAGGGGACAATAAAATCATATATAGCATTTCTTGTGGCATTTAATTTGGAATTAAGATAGTAAGCCAAGTTAATACAGCTGGTTCGAACAGGCCAATAATTTATGGTCGCTGGGAGCAGGCTAAACAATTCAAAGATTGAGTAGTGGTCGCACCTATAGAAGACCAAAAGACCAAGAAACGAGTGTAACAGGTAGTCAGCCGGTTCCGACAAATATATGTAGGCTGTATACACACACACACACACACACACACCATACACACACATTAATACTTGTGTGTGTTCGCATTGAGTGGTTTAATATATAAGGGCGAACTGGAAAATCCATTGATTGAGCGCTTAAATGTATCTATCGATGGCACAGATTGAAAGCATAACGAAAGGTAAAAAGATACACTTACAGATACAGATAAAGATATAGATACAGATGCAGGTAGGTATGCATGGCTCGGCAGGTAAAAGAAAATTAGAAAACTCTGTCATTTTTGTAATTACTGGCTATTATCAGGAGACGCGACAGGTAAATAACAATTTGAAGACAAACATCAGGCAGTGAAAGCAGCGGCGATAAAAATTTCGGTGTGTCTCCGACTCTTCTTCTTCTTCTTTATATCTATAGCACACGTACTGCAGCGACATATATAAGCATATAAACCCACAAGCAGATACACACAAACGCACACCGATATATATATATATATATATATACATATGTCTATATGCATATATATGTGCTATGTATTTGGCAGTAACTTGTTTTTTTTTGTGCATTGTGCAGCCGATGGACTCTGAAGCTGGGCGCTGCTGGAATGGAGATTCCACTCCACACTCAATTGACGAGTTCCGAGAACTCTTCATATTCATCTGTGTGTTGTGTCTTCATCTTCATCTTCGGCTTCATCTTCATCTTCTTTGATGAGCGTTACATAAATAGGTGCAGTTTATGCGTTTAGCGTTGCCAGACCGTTGCTCAACTTAAAAAAAAATTGAGATTTTAGAGTTGTAATCTGAAATTTCAATATGTTGAAATTTATTTGGTTATATTTTCTGTTTGAAAATAGTTTAAAAGTTATAAGTATCGAAAACAATTTTTATATTGCATTATAAAATTGAACAAATGGTCAGCTTTTTGTTGAACATGTTAATTGGAATATTTGTTAATGGGCTTCAGTGCCGGTCTGCATCCAAAATTACAGGTTTTAAGGATCAGAACATTTTAGACAGCGTTGCCAGTCCAAAGTCACTAATACATACACAACATTGCCAGACTTGGGTAAGCTAGCTGATCTTTTGGTTAGGGTATGACCGGACAGCGTTGCCAGATGTGCAGCTGGCAGCCAAAAGTGCAACTGCATTTGACCAGAAATTGGTAAAAGTATGCATAGATGTTCGTTTGTATGTGTGTGTGCATGTATTAGCCAAGACTAAGCTGGAATTAGAAAATGGCGACATTTGAAGTGTGGCATCATTGAGTTACGGGCACCCCTTGCCCACTCAAATGCCACTTGACCCCACTGCCGCCCTCACTTACCCCCACTTGCCGTGCGCTTTTCCCCATGTGTGTGTGTGTGCCGACTTAAGAGACGCGATTCAGCTTCCAGTTAGCGCTCGAGTCTTGAACGCGGCTGCTGATGCCTCCACTAAATCATATTTATGGCCAACAGTTTGCACTCTGCCAACAGCATAAAACAACCAAAAAAACCATAATACAAAAAACTGGTCTGACTGCAGAAACGAAGGCAAAGCGAGTGCATGTCTCTCTCTCTCTCTCTCTCTCTTTCGCTCTCTCTCTCACTCTCTCTGTCTGTTTGTGTGCTTGCGAGTGTGTGTGTGTGTGTGTGTTTGTGTGTGTGCACTCAAAGCGCGCACTCAACAAGATCCACCCCAAACATAAAAACCTGGACCACAAACATGAACAACTCACTCTCTCTCGCTCTCTGTCTCTCTCGTTCGCTCACTCACTCATTCGCATTCAGCACACGCACACATCGATGAAAACGACTCGAGCGCAAGAGACCTGCTTGGCTCCCTCTCTCGCTCACTTTTTATGCTGTAGTTGAGTGTTGCGCTCTCTCTCGCTGCCCGCTACTCCAAAGTTTGGGCTCAGTTTGAATTCTATATCCGAAGAGTGCGCTTAGTGCCCGCTGCTGTGACGGCGTTTAAATACAGAACCAAAATACACACCACAATAACTGTCTGTGTTATTATTATCATTTTTTTTTGTGTGTTGCTTTTTGTCTGTCTATCTGGCCGATAAACAGCAATAGCAACACAATTAGCAGCAGCAGCAGCAGCAACAGCAACAGCAACAGCAACAGCAACAGCAGCAGCAGCAACAGCAACAGCAGTAACAGCAACAACAACAACACGCACACCACGTTGCACGACGCTCAATTTAGTTGTTCTTCTTCTTCGCCTTCTTCTTCTGTTTTTTTTTTTTTTTTTTGAGTTTCGCGGAGAGCGTCGTTGTCGACTCGAATACACTCGAGTTCATTTCTTCAGATCAGTTCAGCACGGAGCAGCGGCGAGTTTGAGCCTGCACGAAACAGTTACGGCTCATTACGGCCCGCCAGATGTGCACACATATATGCCCTGGGTGCATTCTCAAGCGTTATGTTGGACAAGTGACGTGTGGCAGCAGCAATAAAACAATAAATAACAATAATCAGCATAATTATTAAATAACACACAACAAATATAACAGGAACAACAACAACAACGACAACAACAACAAGAACTTTAAACCAATCAATCCAATCCAGTCGGGCAGCAAAACCCAACCGAAACAAAAACATCAACAAATTGTATTATTTATTTTATTTTTTTTTTTTAAACATATCGTGTCGTCAATTGAACGACTAAAGTGCAAAAATGTTTGATGTATTCGGCTCCGTTAAGGGGCTGCTAAAGATCGATCAGGTGTGCATCGATAACAATGTGTTTCGCATGCATTACAAGGCGACTGTGATCATATTGATCGCATTCTCGCTGCTGGTCACCTCACGCCAATATATTGGTGATCCGATCGATTGCATTGTCGATGAGATACCGCTCGGTGTGATGGACACCTATTGCTGGATCTATTCAACGTTTACGGTGCCCGAGCGTCTGACCGGCGTCACTGGACGTGATGTTGTCCAACCTGGCGTTGGCTCCCATGTGGATGGCGAGGATAAGGTCAAGTACCACAAGTATTATCAGTGGGTCTGCTTTGTCCTATTCTTCCAGGCCATATTGTTCTATGTGCCGCGTTATCTGTGGAAATCGTGGGAGGGCGGCCGACTCAAGATGCTGGTCATGGATCTCAACAGTCCCATTGTGAACGATGAGTGTAAAAACGATCGCAAAAAGATACTCGTCGAATATTTTATGGGCAATCTGAATCGTCACAATTTCTACGCATTCCGTTTCTTCGTCTGTGAGGCACTCAATTTTGTCAATGTCATCGGACAGATCTATTTTGTGGATTTCTTTTTGGATGGCGAGTTCAGCACCTATGGCAGCGATGTGATCAAATTTACCGAAATGGAGCCCGACGATCGTATCGATCCCATGGCAAAGGTCTTTCCAAAAGTCACCAAATGTACATTCCACAAATATGGTCCATCTGGCGGCGTGCAAAAGTTCGACGGCCTCTGTGTGCTACCCCTAAATATTGTCAACGAGAAGATCTATGTGTTCTTGTGGTTCTGGCTCATCTTCCTGAGCATATTGTCGGGCATATCGCTTGTCTACCGCGTCGCTGTCGTTGTCGGCCCCAAACTGCGTCACCTGCTGCTCCGTGCCCGATCACGTCTGGCCGAAAGCGATGAGGTCGAAACGGTGGCAAATCGATGCAACATCGGCGATTGGTTCCTGCTCTATCAGCTAAGCAAGAATATCGATCCACTGATCTACAAGGAGGTGATATCGGATTTGTCGCGCGAAATGGGTGGCGATAGTCAGAGTTCTCAGAAGCAGCACTTCGACGCCTAAGCGACGACTAAAACGAAGAAGAGAAGTCGATGTCGGAGACGGAGTCGGAGTCGGAGTCGCAGGACCTGGGCCATCCCCTTGTGCTAGGCCGGGCAGCGTGCCAGCGGCCGTAAGTTGAACAACCCCCTAAAAATCAAACCCAACCAACCCACTCACACTACACACCCTGCCAGCAATTTTAGTAGTAACACACGCACACACACGCACACACACACGCACACACACACATATATATACTTATTAAATATACAGATATATATAAATATATATATATATAAACGATCTTAGCTAATAACCTGTAGCTGTTTTACAGAGTCGCTCTCTGTTAAACCTAGAGTTAGGGCAGCAAAGAGAAAGAGAGAGAGCGCGAGAGAGAAAGAGAGAGCGAGAGAGAAAGAGAGAGCGAGAGAGAAAGAGAGAGCGAGCGAGTCAGCGAGAGAACGCGCTCAAGAGTTGTGCATGCCACAAAAGACATTTAGTAATAGCTCACAGCAAACCTCCTAGTTCGTAAACACTTCAACAATGTAAAGCCAATTACAGTGGTCGCTCGCAAATTGAATTCGTGTATAATTCCAATTTTTTCCAAAGTGACAAAATATATATTATAATTTTTAATTTATTCATAATATTTTGTAGTTTTCCAAAATGCAACACTCACAATTGTTTCAAATCTAAGAACTGTCATCCAACAACATGTTCTCAAAATTAGAGTTTTTCATTTGAGTCATTAAACTTGCAACAGTTTCAATTAACAAGCGTCCACTGTAAATATAATTTTTGCTGAATTTTTTTTTTTTTTGGTCTGTAAAATTTGTATGTTTGATTTACATTTACATTTATTATTAGTTGTAATTATTATTACTGTCTATTTTTTTATATACATAAATATATTATTTTGCTTACAAGATACGAAAAAATTGCAGACGCACAACCAACAACGAAAATATCAATAAATGAAAATACACACAACATAAAACATAAAACAAAAGAAAGAAAAGAAAAAAACAGTAATAAGTTTGAACTCCAACTACAGCAGCTCAAGCTTGAGAAGAGAGTTGCTTATAACAGAAGAAGAGAACGAGAGAGAGAGAGAGAGAGAGATAGAGAAGGAGAGCAAGAGAATGGGCTCACGCACTCGCAGAGGCACTGCTGGTCTTACGCGCTGATTTAAGCGTAACGCAAGCAGCCAAAGTCGATCTGCGCCCATGCGCAAGCGAGACGTCAATAGCAACAGCTACGCCTGCGCGCTGGAAGGCTGTGTATGGCCGTCTCGCTTGCGCACTTCAAGCCACATTCCAAACTTGTAGTTTCTGTTGAAGTTTGTCGCTGTTGCTGAAGCTAAAGTTGCTGAATCTGCATGCAAACTGGTTTGACCAGCACCAGCAAAATGGGGGGCAGCGGATGAGAGGAGGGTAAGCGACGCAAGTTCATGGCAATCGCGAGGGCGCATTTGCCAACAAGACAAATGCTGTGGCCAAAAGAAATCGCTGCGCTAATTAAAAGAAACCTCCTCCAGAGAGATGATCGCGTGACACGATTTGACAGCCTTTCAAATACAGTTAGCAAATTCTTAAGATGGCCAGCATTAAAGTATGTAACACAAACTAGCCAAAGCTAAAGTTGTAACATTTTTGTATTTGGCTCATGCGTTTATTTGCTAATCAATTTCATATAATTTGATATGTCGTGCGTCCTTTTATGTCACGCTGTCAAAAAAGAAAAGAAGAAGAAAAAACTGCTCATTTCGAGGCATTTTCTAATCAGCAGTACTTACTCAAGTGTCTTTCTCTTTCTCTCTCTCTCTCGCTCTCTCTCTCTTGCTCTCTCTCTATCTTTTGGCTGCTCACTCTGCGCTCTCTCTTTCTCTCCATCTTTAGTTTTTGTTAGTTTTGTCTTTAATGTAGTTTCTGTATATAAGTTGGGCAACAAGTAGTCCCGTCTTCCGTCTTCTGCCCCCAAACTTGACGCATCTTATCTTATCAACGTTCTGCCATCCTCTACTCTGCCCCGTCCGTCTCGCTGCACGCTTCAGGGACACACAACACTACTGAAAAAAGTAATCGGGCCTCGCTGATAAGGCAAAAAAATATATACTGAAACGAGAGATGCTGATGGCTAGCTTGATGGGGTTGTCTGGCTGGCGGGGTGGCTGGGTGCTTGTGACGGCCGCATTTCAAATGAAAAAGTGTTGTAATTGCCACACATTTTTCTTAGATCACCCGAACACATTTCAGCTTTCACGCACACTAAGACTTATATACTCTTAAGTTCCAATTAATGCTACCATCTCGGGGGAAAAAAAAAACTATATCAAAAATAAGTTCATTAATTTAGCTTGTTTTTTTCTCTGTGTATTAATATTGTTTTTGACATCATTTTTGAGTTTCTCATTCGATTGTTAAGACATTTTTAGTAGACCTACTTAACTTTGTAGATAACTCCTACGATTTGTTTGAGTGGCTGTTGAATAAATCTTAGATTTCATATCAAAATAAACAGCTCAAGTTATATATATATATATATACATTTTTATATCTTCTTGAAATCCTCTTAGTTCAGATAGAATATAGAGGCGTACCGCCCCCTTTTAGTAGGCCTTTGATATAATGGCGATGACAAAGAAAACACCGACAATTTATATATTGTGCAGCTCAGCTTCATCATAATCAACAAACACACATATATATATATATAGAAGCGATCTGTGTCCGCCAATTTGAGGTATCAATGAATGGGCCTCCCCATGGCTATATTCATGTGTTTGTAAAGCACAAAGCTGCCCAGCTGAATGTTCACGGAACACTCGTGAATGAGTGTATTCAGTTAATTGTAAATGAGAAATGAGGCAGCCTTCAGAAAGCGTTTGACACGCGAAAAACGAAAATGAAAATGTTAATGAAAAACACACAAACAAACTATATAGTTTTTTTGCTTTTCGTTTTTTTTTTCTCTTTGTATCGTTGTTGTTGCAATGGGCACGCACAAATGAGTGCCGCAAATATTCACAATATTCATTCAGACTAATGAAGAGTCTCATTTCTATAGAATTGTGTTTTTAATTGCAGTAATTACTTTCAATTAGCCAAAGACTGCCAAACAATAGAAGCAAACATATCCAAGATAATTGCCATTAATAATTGTGGCAAAGTTTAGTGTGAAATATCAAACAGCAACAAGAAGAACGAGCTCAGCTCTGCTGAGCTGACAAATAACGTATACGCCACGTTGCTCACAAGCTTGCTTAAGCAATAGCGCATAACTACTTACAGAAATATATATATATATATATATATATATATATTGTTAATTTCATATTCCATTATGATGTTTATAAATATTAGATTAATTCTTTGATTTAATTGCTTGCATTTAGTTATCCTTTTATCTCCAATTCTTCACTCTTACAAAATATATTTTTTAAATTGCATTTGGCTTTAGCAGAAATCATGAAATCATTCACAATTGAAGTGGTTGTTATTATAATTTACGTATTTAACTCATTTGATAAACTCTTCTATTTGTTCTTCTTTCTTTTCACAGTTTCACGCAGCCAAAACTTTGAAGAAAATGATGAAAAATGACACGAATTGAAGCGGGCGTTTGCCTTCTGAGCTAATGAACACATATCAATGAATTCCACGGTAACCGTTAAAGTTTAACGTGTTTTGAGCGATTTGCAAAACGCGTGAAAACGATTGCAAGAGATAGCAATGCAACAGTACTAGAACCACCACCACCACCCCCACTCACACCCACACCCACACGCACATCCACACCCACAATCTCTTCACATAAGACAAACCCATCACTTCCCCAGTTCCCAAACATCCCCTGGATTAGGCAGCTGTTTAGAAGCCAACGACAATCATTAATTGTTAGTTTATAATTTCACATAGGCTGCTAATAAAGTAACGGTTAAACTAAAGGAAGCGTAACAGGAAATACAAATTAACAATAAAAGACAAAAGACAAAAGACAAAAGTAAAGCATAAAAGACAACAACAGAAACTAAAACAAAGTGCAAGCATTTTTTATACACTACTTTTTTTTTGTACTAACGGCGTATTGAGAAATATTTTTTATAAACCATACACTATATGTAAACCGTACATAGATGATACACTTATGCAAGTATCTACAGACGCATAGATATATATATATATATATAATTAGAGATACATATATACATATATATTAATGATGCAAATGCCACATGCGATTAATATTTATGCTAAGAGTTGTGATCATTGATTAAGCTGTTTATAAAATTTATAAACAAATTGAATAATAAACGAAAACGAAAAATAATAAAAATAAACACAATAATTTACGCCTAGTAAACAAATGAGCGATGAGCTATGGGCCTCAATTGCAAATGCCAACAACAAGCACAACAACAACAACAACAACAACAATAAAAGCAACAATAATAATTATTATAAATATATATAAAGTATATATATATATATATATTAACATTATTATAAAATGACAACCATTTTATTACATTTTTTTTTTTTTGCATGCGCCCACATTATCATTTTTATTAAAAAAAATTTTTTTTAGCAATTTTTTCGCCAGCAATTTAGCTATTTTTCCAATTGCAATTTTTGTCATATTTTTTGTAGCATTTATATTTTAGTTATTAGGCCATTTTAGTTTAGCGCAATTTTTTTTTATCTACAAAAATGAAATAAAAATATAAATAATATTTATACAATTTTGTAAGCAGCAAAAATATATTTTTGTATAAATCATACATTTTAGCTATATAAAATGAAAGACTCAAAAGCAATATTAAAAGAAAAAAAGAAAAAAACTGTAAAAGCTTAAAAAAGACAAATAATAAACAACAGCTAAATGATAAATATATAATTTTAATATATGTAAGTGCGCACATTTACAAGCCAGCTTGATAAATATATTTTTAAATATCGATTTATCGATTTATCGAGTGTGTAAATGCGCCACAGGCCGTAAGCTAAGTTTTATAAAATCCATATTATTTTAAACACGATTTTTGAATAAAGCAGAACAACAACAATTACGAAAAAAAAACACACACACACACAGAAAATCATCAAATTCAATATGTTTCCTTTTGCTTATCTTATCTAATGGGGGCGGGGGGCAACATCCCCTGCCAAACCCTCTCCACGGAATGTTCTCTATCAACACATCAGTCACACGTATGCAAACAACAAGTGTACCCAAAAACCTGAACATCAACCTGAAAACTCTTGAGAAAACAGTTGAGATTCAAGCAACGCGCCATAAAACTAACTACAAGAAATCTAGCAACGAGTTGATGAAGTTGAAATGCCCTGCGATTGCCGAGACTCATGTCGCAGATATATATATATAGAGATCTCTTGAGATATCTAACTTTGTATATATGTATATCGATTCATGCTTTTATAACAGGGAAATTCTATGTTTTATACGCAGCAAACTATGATTTTCTCTAAAAGAGTATAAATAGTTTGTAAAGTGTTGTTAAGCTAAAAATAAACAGCGCTTCAAATGAAAAACACAAAGACGGAAACAAATCTATTTCTATGCATTATGAGTAAGTACAGTAAGCACTCGTTGCGACGCATTTTTCTTAGTTTTTTTTGTTGTTTTTTTTTTTTGTCAAACATAGCTTTATTTGAATAGTGAAATGTTTACTCTCTCAAAATGTTTGTTAATTGGATATGCTCACTTTGGTGCTATCAGCTTATGTACATTCATATTCATTTTTTCACTATAGCGACTATTTACTGTCACATAAATTCGTCTCTGTGCATTTCCAAAAGTTGTGCACTCTTTGTTGATAATCCTAGATAAGTTAACTTAAAAGGCGGTCGCCTCCTGACGCGCATCCGTTGCACCAACCCGAGCAGAGGCACTCGTCCGCGCATTCGAGCACGTGGCAAACATTATATTTTTATTTTTGTTGTGTCAACGTTTCTATAGCTTCATGGTTATCATGTATTATTACAACTAGATTTCTACAGCATCCCCATTCCAGCAATGTGAAATCTGAGTCCCAATTCGTGGGGCTATCGCATCATATCGGGTTATAACTGCGCCACAGACTGTGTTGCCAGTCTCTTATGCCACTCGTGCCACTGTTTAGATTCATTTTTTTTGCTTACGCTTGAAAAAAATCAAGGCTATTTTTGATCTGGGTATATGGTGCAGGAACCAAGATAAGAATAAATTTAAAATTCAAGGTTTGCATTGATTATTATTGATACCTATTCAAAATATAAAGTTTTAAAGAAAAACTGTACAAAAATCAAACATTTTAAATTGTTTTTGGCAGGGCGATGCTTTAGGATGCATTTTCAATTCAATGCGATCAGTTAAAGATTGATTTAAGTGTAATCCGGCTTGATACAATTCCCACGTTGTGTAACGCGTAAATAATTGCAAATACCTTCCGTTGGGGCATGACGCAAAGAGCAAACATTCGAGCACCTGCAAATTGAAATGATGTGGAATGTGTGACAAGTGTTGCAAGAGCGATGACAACCTGAAACCGTGTATTATTTAGCAAGGTGTCCAAGTTATATTGTATATTGTTCAAATGCAATCCTAGCACCTCTCAAAGTATTGCAACAACTTGCCGGAGTGTGCCTTCCATTGCGATTGTTCGAGCAAATTAACATATCAAATTGAATTAAAAGTTACAATTGTCCAGGCGCGCCCTCAATAAAATAATAATAAATAAATATGACAGCATAAGAAAAAGCGAAAAGCGAAATTCAACTGGGTTACGGAACTCGGAAAGTCGCAGAAGGGGAGGGGGGCACTTAACGAGGGACCGAGGGGCTCGTTTAGGGTCAACAACAAGTCAGACTATGCAATTGGAATGTGAGAATCGCCCACAACTTGAGCAATTTATGAGTATTACGACTATTACAAAATAAATATCATTATGCACACGGCTGATACTAGAGTCGAAACAATTGGGATGTCAGGCAATGCCAATCGAAGTGGAACGATTCACTTGATATAAGCACAAAATTGTATTATAACTAACGTCAACCAAACTGGACTGAAAGATCTTATACTGCGGCAATTTGAATTAGTATTCGAAATGCTCATTTGTCTGAAAGTGCAATGAAAATGTTCCAAAAATTTCGAATTTTAAGAATGGCACAAATTAAATTTTAGAGTAGAACTGGCTGCATGGCAGATCATATCTCTATATCTCTGTACAATTATTTATTTTGCAAGTACTTTGATGATGACCTTGAACATTGCGTAATTTGCGAAAGGTTCGCATGAAACAAATGCCGCCTGAAATGTCACATGAATTGTAATTCCAATTCCAATTCTAATTCTAATTCAAGCTAAACAAACGTGTTGCATAAATGCGAATCAGCATGGATCATTGGCGACCTCAAACGGCCGCAAATTGCATAACAGCCACAACATAGTTGCATGTGTGTGTGTGTGGGGTATATGCTTAATTTTCGACACAATTTATTTATTTATTTATTTGAAAGCCAACTATCAAAAGTTGTATTTTCTGGCTTTTCTATTTTTATTTGTGGGTTCGCCTTTTGTCTTTGTCGTTCCTCTGTTTGCCGTCAGATTTATTGTTGTGGTTTTTTGTTTTTTTTTTTTGTTTTCTATTTGTTTTGGTTGACTTTTTTTTATGTTGCCTTGCGAAAAGCATAAAAAATATAACAATTTACTGTGAAATGTAAACAAAACTTGCCGTGGCAGCTTTGATTGCCAAGTTCTTTACAACTCTTGTTATGGGTGCCGTCCATTTCAATTTGCTGTTGCTGCAATCAGTGTGAAAATTATATCACATTTTGCGAACACCCAAACAAAACCATGAATTTGCATTTGATTGTCATAAAATGTGTCATTTTGTATCATTAACATCAACAGTTATTCTGGTTGTGGCCGTAAATATCCTAGATTCTCAATCGATTTACACTTGATCCGTTTGATCCTAGGACATATTTGATTCATCTTTTTTGTATGCTGAGAACATACTTGCTTGGAGTGCCTTTATTTCAGATAGCTGTCAACATCTTGAAACAACATATATATATGATTTATATTTCCAAAAATACGAATTTAATAATGTTAATCATGTGCATCACTTCCGGAAGCCCTTCCGCTTCGTCACACATTTGTTTCTCAGGGAATGTCGATGATTCACTGGCAGTTGGCTCTGATTTGATAGCAACCGGTTTTTGTTGTTCAGATTGGTCACTTTGGGTTTTCATCATCAGCATCTTGTATGCCATTTTTGTGAGTTGAATGAGCGAGTTTCTCATTTTCGGTATTATATCAATCATATATCAATCATCAACTGTCGCAGAGAATCCCCAAAAGCATCTAAATTTTATTTTGTATTCCCTGCATCATTAACAGAATCGAGCACTTCCTATATGGTTTTCTTCTTGTTGTTCCAAATAGTATTCATTGTGTACTTAAAGGTAACTAGATGTATCTCCATAGTTCCATCACAGACTCGTCATTGCCACTCATTCGGTATTTTATTTTCCTCGATCTCTTCATTATGTATGTATAGCAGCTGTTTATTAAGCCGCTCGTTTGATAATTATCCATAACCTGATAATATAAATACACTTCGCTATGGTCTCAAAAACAATATGCACAAATTCCAGCTTTTTAGTAATTGTCGAGGCACGCCCATCCACTGCTCAACCCCATCATTATCAACTGATTTGAGAACATTGAAAAACTTCTCAGCGATTTTTCTAATTCGGGTTTTTATTGTCTGAGTTCAGTAAATTAGTGTTAATTTCTTCTTATATTTTTTTTATAGTAAATCATTTAGAAATTAATTCGTTGACTCGTGTTATATTTCCCTCTCTCTCTATCTATCTATCCATCTATCTATCTCTTTCTCTCTCTTTCTATCAGTGTCTGTGTGATTGTTTTCGTGGTCATTCGATAAAAATTGATTTAACTTTTCATAAACGTTATCATTTTTATTATCATGTGGCATCTAAAAAAAAAAAAAAAATACATATATCAATCCATTTTAAACACATTGATTAGCATAGCACAATTATTGATAGACCAAACCCTTTGCCCCGCGCCCCCTCTCGGCAAGCAACCAGTCATTGTTTTTTTTTTTTTGTGTAAACAGTTTCTTTGATATTCGGCAATTGTTTATCACCCGTCGCTGACTTTGTATGCAAATCCTCATTTAACATTTTTGGACGCTTTTGTTTATAGTTGGACAACTTTGTCACACATTCGCGTAAATTAATGCACAATGAGCAAGCAGCCGTTGCCGTTTTGAACAGAAAAGGGGTTTGGGGTTGGGGTTGGGATTGGGGTGGCATAGCACCCTCTCCTACCACAAAATTAAAGGCCCCCCTCCATGCCCGATTCCAGTTTCCAATCACTGACTGACTGTGCGACGACCTCGTTCAAACAAAGGCACTGACTGTACAGAGCAGAGTTTGGGTTTGTTTTTTTTTGTTTTTTTTTTTTGTTTTTAAGTTTATTAAACCACAATTTGTGCCACAAACATACTTTGAAAACTATACATGAATGTACATAGAAACATTCAGATATGACCGATCTATTTGGCTATTTGTCTATGTCGTCTCAAAACTATTATTTCTTTAGCAATAAACTGTGGCGCGGCTTGTGCGGAAGTTTCAATCGTTTTTAATGAGCCTTACAACGACTACATGAACTGGCCAGCATGTAAAAGCAGCGAGTGCTCGACTAGAAGACAACCTGCTTAAGCTATTTGAAGTGGTAAGATTTGTGCAGTCTTGAATTAATAATAAATAATAAGTAAAAAAACATTTAACAACTTTTGTTTATTATTTTTGTCTCGCTTTTCCCAAACATCGCAATAAATTTGAGACCTTTTTACATTTGAATACTCCCCAATTTATATTATTATATCCTATATGTTTTATTTAATTTGAAATTTCATATTTAATTACTTTTAGTTTTCATTTCGTATAATTTAATTTGTTTACTTTAATTTTAATTATAAAATAAAATTGTCGACTGCTTTCAGCTCACATTAAATAGACAAATAAATAAAAAATATTATAAAATATGTTTTATATTTCTACAAATACTATTCCATTAACAATCAAATCTCTTTTCAGATAACATTTTAATTGGTTGGCAACAACTATTCAATAGCTGTTACATACATTGGCAAGGCTCTGCTGTAGCCATTTATAAAGAAGTGGTTATTATAGGGTATACAAAGCCCATCACAAGAGGCGTTGGCATCGTCTGTCGCTGCAATTTAGCGTGTGGATTTCCGTTGTCTACACTCATGTGCCCCTTTTTTTTGGACTTGTGTGTGTGTGTGTGTGTCTGGGTTTGGGGCACAATCAGCGTTTCTAATTAGCCGGCCAGACGCTTATTAGACTTTGGATTTTGGGCAACGGACTCAAGTTTCTGCTACAGTTTCAATTTCGTATTTTTTCTTTTTGTTGTTGTTCATTTTTGCCAGCTCAAAAATTGACGTTGGCGATTTGTTGTTGTTGTTGTTGTTGCTGTTGTTGTTGTTGGCTCGTGTTTACTTTCGCAATTGAACAACAGATACAAATTGCAGCTCAAACATTTGCAAAGTCGAACACTGAACAAGTTGCATAAATGATTATTAAACACAAATGCAATTGCACGATTCATTGTGCATACAAAGCAAATACAAATGCAGATATCGAAACACAAAAACAAACAAACAAAACCAACAAACAAACAAACAAACAAACAAACAAAAAAAAAAAGAGCAGCAGGTAAAACAACGACACAAAACTTTGTTGCTAATGACAAATGCATGTTGTCGATAGCGAGATTTTTTACGAATGCCCTGCCACAAGTGGCAGTCAAGTGGCTAAGTCAACCGGTTTGTCTTTGTACCAAAAATAATCTTCACAATCAATTGAATTACAAAATGAACGAAAGAACAACATGCCGAATTATATAAAATCAACTTTACATAATGGATTTCAACTGTAGCTGCAAATAGTGCATCAATTTCTTGTAGTCTTCAATTGATTTCCTCCATCTTTGTACGAGTATATTGATGCTAGGCAGATGAAAAATGGATTTTATTTGTACTTTAGGTGAAAAGTAGTTTGATTTATGAACTCAATCCATCAATGGCTACAATGGGAAACCAAATAAAACTTAAGGGCATTCAAACCTTAAGTACACACAACAAACAGATGTGCAACATCAAGGTGGGTGTGGCACGTGTGGCATGCATGCACTTGCATTTAGTTGAAATCACTTAGCACTCGGCAAAGTGTTCAAATCACAGTTTGCTCAGCACATATTGTGAAACTGGAGCATCGATGGAGCAAAGCGATTACCAATGCCTTCTTCCACTGGGTGGGGTTTTCGAGTTGGGTTTGGCCGTTAACAAGCCAACTAACAAACATCACTTATGCAATCTGATCTCGGCTGGTCAGCAATTTTAGAAGAAAATAAACGCTGCTTACAAAAAGTTGCCGTGCATTGATATTAAGTTCAGTTCTCATATTAAGTTCACAATCGATTAGCAGTTTTTCTTTTTACATTATTTTATATATATAATATAATAAATTTGAATACGTTTCCGTTTCAAATACCCAAAAGATCCGATTGAAATTTGGCTTGTTTGCCTACCAATCAAATTATGTTTACAACCAGAAGGCAATTTGTGATTACAAAAATAACAAAACTCAATTTCATTGGAACAACGCTAAATGATTAAAAAGCGTTATAAAGAATTGAAAGCCATTAAAATGTTGAAAGCTGCAAGTTGCTGCTCAACTTGCTCAAATGTCAAATGTAAGTAAAAACATTACTCTTTTTCTCTGTCTCTGTCTCTCGCACTCTTTGTCTCCCTCTCTCTCTTTTATTGGCTGTCTCTGCCTTTGTTAACGATTTCGATAATGACTAGTCAGCACTTTCTGTATTATTTATTTCACACACAATTATCTCAACACTTCCTCAGCTATAATTGCTGCGGGCATTTAACGAAAATAAATTAAAAAAATAAAACAAAAAAAGATCATTCATACAAATGCTTGGAAAGTGTATTCAGTTTATATGTATAGAGTCGGCATCTTATAAATATTAATTATAGTTCAAATGGTAAAAGCTAATAACAATTATCAGAGCAAAGCTCTGCCTGAAATATTTGGTTTTCTTCAAAGCAGAAACGAATGACTTATGCAACAAACTTGGCGGCTAATGAGCTTTTATGGAGCTAAGGCGAAATGTGTAGGCGCAGCATGCCACATGCTGCACATGTTCTTCAGCTCTCTTTTGTGTTACTTGAGTGCAGCGCCTTTTAACCTGTAACCAAAACGTTTCCCACGCTCGCAATTTTGGCCAAGCTAAGCGGCTTGTGTGGGGTGTTCATCGTCTGCCTGTGTGTGAGTGTGTGTCTGCCTGTGTGTGTGAGTGTGTGTCTGCCTGTGTGTGTGTGTGTGTGTTTTTGGTGTGTATAACATGTCTAGCATTGGGCTTGGACAGAGGCGTATCCTACGCGCTGCTGGCGCTTGTTGGCTACTGTTGCACGCCAGCGCACCGAATGCTTTAATGGTAGACCCAAAGCCAAAAGCCAGATCGGGTTGCGGGCCACAGAACCGGTTGGCACACTCGAAAAAATGCAAGCCATATACTAAAGTACACATAATAAATATATATATTTAGCTATATACATACATTATGTGTATGTGTTGTGTGGCTTGGCCAGCGAAAAAAAAACAAAACAAAACGAAAGAAAACCAAACAAAAGAAAACAAAACAAAAAAGAAAAAGAAAAAAAAAACAGTCCCAACAAAAAAAAAAAAGCGAAAAAAATCAAGTTTTGCATTTTCATTTAAATTTATTGGCTTTTGGTTCGGCTTTGAGTTGGTTTGTTGCCAGGCAGCCAAGTCCGAGTCGGAGTCACACTGGACTTGCAACTTGTTTGCCAATCAAGGTGGCGAACAAGATTCTGCTGCAGCCAGTTTTAAATATGGCGCTGCACACACACACACACAAAACACACACACAAAACACACACACAAAACACACACACAAAACACACACACAAAACACACACACAAAACACACTTGAAGTTTGCATTAAACATTTTTCAGTTTGACATATATAAATATATAATATGCTCGATGAGAATCAGCAATTTACAGATGACCTCTAGACAAACTTAAAGAAATAATTAATATAATATATAGCTCTATATACATATATCCTGACTCAATATGTACGTAGTGTAA